GATTTTTCCTCAACATACTTTGTCCTCCATATCAGGTGCAATCCTTCCAAGTTGGCTAAATACGTTTCAGTAACTGGTTTTACTATGGAGCACAAGGTGTTTGCACAAGCAGCACACAAAAACTGCTGGGACATTAGCAAATGCTCATTTGAAAGGCCAATGCTTGAACTAGTAATAGGTTTGGCTGAGACCAGCTTCATTAGGCACCACACTAATGCCAGCAGCGTCCACAGTAGTGTCTATTTGAGAATACTAATGCTCAGTCATGGCTTTTGTGCAGCAATATTGATTAAATTGTTATGAGAACTGTGCCCAGATCATTGCTTATGTGGCCATGAACAACTTAGTCCTTGCTGTGACAGTATTTTTAATAGTGTGCTTTTAATTATACCCTTCCTGGGGTTGGACTAATTTGGCAAAGAGGGATCTTTACTTGCTCAGCTGGTTGTTGCCCTGTCTTGTAATCTTTGGCCATAAACCGCACACTTCTATACAGTGTTTGCATAACTGGGAAGAGGGGGGCAGTTACTTTTTATGAACTCTTGATTCTGCCTCTCTCTATTTCTGCTTGTACTAACTGGTTTTGTCCATAGAGTTAACAAACTAGATTTTTTTTTTCTCTAAAATAATTTGCAAACCAAAAAAAGTTACGTTTTTCAGGCAAATTTTTCTCATCCAGTAATCCACCTCCATGTGTTTTCTTCTTCATCCACATCATGACTAAGTCTCTTAGCCGTGTCATAACTACCCAAAGCCCTATCTGTTGTGTTATCAATCTTGTCTGTTAATTAAGTTTGTTAATTCTTTATACTGATGAGTTTAAAAACAAGACTTCTGCTTTCACATTTAAGTGCCATATAAAAGGAAGAGTTCAACTTTTTCCTAGATTAAAATGCAATAGATAACTTCTTGCCTTCATTAACTGAGTATCAGTAAACCGGCAATTTGTTGAGATTGACTACATTTATCTTGAAGATACAAGGTCAAAGGATGTTTTTTAGGTTTTTTTTTTTTGTTGTTAGTGGTGGTGGTAGTGGTGGTGTTTTCCCAAAATTTTCTGCTCTGATGGAGATTTTTCACTACCGTGTTCTTCTCAGACTGTTATATGTTGGGTAGCAACTGTAGTTCAGCGGGTGCTTGGAGTTGAAAATGCTGAACAAGATCAGTTCTATTTTGGTGCTTTGAGTGGTAGTGGCAAGATTGGTGTAACATGAATCTCTGCCCAAAACAAAGATTTGAAGCAACTCTGCATGCTGTTTCAGAAAAAGGCAAGCTTCTGTGGTTCAAAACAGCCTCAGAATTTCGTGTTTTTCAAGCCTTGTGCTTGGATTTTTCGGGGCAGATCTGAGATTTGACTTTCTAGTTGAATGGGAAGGCCTCAGTGCTGATACAAATTCTGGGGATGTTTTGGGTGGGGGAGAAAATTATTTTTGTGTGAGGTAGCCAAGTCTGTGCTACTTGGATAGGATAAGAGATGCAGGTTTTAGAGTGAGAGATCAGCATGATTTTGTTTGCCGGACAAAGGCTTCAAGTTTAAACTTTGAGGGTGCATACTGGGATTGCCTGAGAGGGTGCAAGCTTAGAGTTCCCTTGACAAAGGTTCAGTGTCACTTTACTGCACGTTTTACACCTATTGGCATCAGCTCAGTGAAGATTTTATTGGTAAAATGGAAGTGGAAACATCTTCAGCCATCGCGAACCATCTTTGCAGTATGTTTTTTGTCCCCTCCTGGCTCCCTAGATGCATTCGTGTATGCATACTTTTTCCCAGGTGAGAAAATGGTGCAGATGAATGCTGCTTCTTCTCCAAGCGTGGGGGCATACCTGGAATGGATCTTGAGTAGTGCCTCCAGAGAGCAGCAGTAACACCCACCTTTCAGCTTCCCCACAGAGAGCAGCCCAGCTCCTCATGGTGATTCTGGGACAGCTAAAGGCAAGAGGAATGGAGAGAAACATGTGTGTGCATGTGTAGGCACACATGTGTGTGCTTTTGCACTCTGAGGTGACAAACCTTAAGAAACGTTCCAGGTTAGCTTGTGTCTTGCTCTGAGCTCCCCAAGCCTCTCCATGTGCATCATTTTTGTTCCAGCTTCATCGCCCCCAGCTCACAATCTGTCTGTCATGACTCACACGCTCTCTGGCTTTGATTTAGACTCCATCTGCTTTCTCAGCCAGTCAGATCCCAGTTCTTCTGTAACACCATAGGAGAAGTGTAGGACTGGAGCAGAACATGTATTCAGGAGAGAGGAGGGGGAAGTATACTGATTCCAGCCTCAAAGTTTCTCCTTGTCTCATCTGCCTCAGTGCAAGCATTTGGCTAAGCTGCAAAATGTCATCTGTACTTGCTAGTAATAAGGCTGGGGCTGACTTGGAGGAACTTACACAGAATCACAGAATGGTCAGGGTTGGAAGGGACCTCTGGAGATCATCTAGTCCAACCCCCCTGCCAGAGCAGGGTCATCTACAGCATGCTGCACAGGACAGCGTCCAGGCGGGTTTTGAATGTCTCCAGAGTGGGAGACTCCACCACCTCTCTGGGCAGCCTGTTCCAGTGCTCCACTACCCTCAAAGTAAAGAAGTTCCTTCTCATGTTAAGATGGAACTTCCGATGTTCAAGTTTATGCCCATTACCCCTCGTCCTATCACTGGGCGCCACTGAAAAAAGACTGCTCCCATCCCCCTGGCATCCTCCCATTAAGTATTTGTAAGTATTAATAAGATCCCCCCTCAATCTTCTTTTCTCTAGAAAATCTTCTCTCTTACTTGTCCTTCCGGAGAGTTTGTGGACCCTCAGAGCAGATGTGGTCTCAGAGTGTTGCCACTCACCACACATTTATAGGTTTTTAAAAGGAATGTCCTTTCTCCCCTGCTTATTTAAAGGACTATCACAGTTCCCTGAGAAAAAATAGCAGTTGTTTTGCCTCTTCTCTGCAGGCAGCGGAAGGTGACACAAAGGTAGCAGGGAGGCTGTGTTGCTAATGCCTGGCAGCCAGAAATGCGCCACAACCCTCTGGTGGAGGCAAGCAGCTGGTGTGCACAAAAGACTTCCCCTCAGGTCACCACTGTTTTCCCACAGGGACAGGGTGACCCTTGGAGGACTGAAGATCACTTTAGGCGGGGAAAGGCTGTCCCTAGTTAGCTTATAGAGGGGGATCACATGTCAAAGACAATACAGAGTTGGTGGGTTCTGAAGTCCAGACAGCAAAAATAAATCTCTCCCTCTTCAAGAGACTAGCTTGGGAGATTTCCCTCTATTATAAACTTATTACAGACTCTCCTACCCATGAGGATCATCAGAGAGGAATTGGTACAAGGTCAGTCCTTGGAATTAAAGCCAGGAGGGAATTTTCCTAGGGAGACTGCGTTAGGGGCAATGGTATTTTTGACTTGCTACGGAGGCAGCTTATGAAAACCCACCTGTTAAAGTGAAGATGGTCATTCAAAGTTAGATAATGCTTTACTAATATCAGAAAAGGAGATGTGGCCCAACATCCGGGAGAATACCTCCAAGAACATATTCTCAGAACTTGGATTTCTTCACTGTTGCTGATAAGTAGAAACACATGTGATAGGCTGCTTGGGACTGCATCTAAGTGCCATGGCACACCAAAAATAGGATAGAAGGAGGTGTAGAATGTTAGAGGAAAGCTGCAGAATACACAGAATTTGATTTTGCCTATTTACTGAGAAAACTTCACAAGGACAGTGAGTTAAACAAAGCAGCATCTTATCTTTGGATGCTAAGGTTTTGCATGCATGACACGAACTGACAAGACATCCTTTTGCAACATACAGATCAAAATCTGCTCCAGATTTAGAACTGGAATAGAGAGGGATAGTGCAGACAAGGGTTGAGGTCTCTGCTGTTAGTCACAACTGAGACAAGCTGGCAAAATAGAGAGCTGGAATTCTCAGATCTGAGGTATGCAGAAATATGTGGAAAGTAGGCAGGGTAGAATTACCAGGAAAGAGAGCAGGAGTTTTCAGAGAGAAACCTGTTTTCAAAGTGTAGAAAACGTGGCTTCCCTCTACTGTATTTCTTGGCAGCCTGCTCCATAATTTTTTTTTTTTGAGTTCTTATATTTTAAGACTATAACTTTGTAAAAATTGTGAACAGTGATTCATAGAGACAAACGCAGGTATTTGAAATATAGGTGCCCACATGCTGTTTTACTCCTCTTCCTCTGACCCTGAGGTTGCCCCTACTTCAGATTTTCCCATTCTATTTAAAAATTCCAGAGATGATGCTAAAACAGAGATTTTTCTCCCTTCCAGTGCTTTTCTTAGAGCCCTGGCTGAATACAAGACATAAAACATAGACCAAATTTTTTCATCCCATCTGTTTTCAGGGCACAGCTCAGCTGAAGGACAGAGGAGAAGCTCCTCACTGCACCCCCATCCCCATCCAGGAAAATCCCAGAGTAAAAATTGAGAAAGAAGAAAAAATGTTCTACGTGGGAATGTTTGGGGGGATGCAAGATGAGAGCTAGTGAAAAGAAACTGCAGCAACATGGACACAATTGCAGTCAGAAGCAGCAATATGCTTCTAGGCTGGAGGTCTGGCTGTGTTTACACTGGTGCATGCAGGCCAGGTGTGACTGGAAGGATTGCACTGACGGAGAATGAGAAGAGCTGCTCCTCCTCCACTTTCCACATGGCAGATTGACCCAGAGCATCCTGACTGTGTCCAGCAGTATTCATGTCCTGTTACAATCCCTTCTGCCATGTTATGTAGACATGGCAGAAGCCTAAGCATTATGAGCCTGCCCTTAGTCACCTTGCTGTCCACATCTGACTCCTGCACACACCCGTATAGTCCAACAGCCTGACAGTCTTTGCACAGAAGGAAAGCAGCAGAAGAAAGGGTCAGTCCAATGCCCCTTTCCCCAGCTGAATCAATCATCTGTGGGGATTGCAAAGAACATCCAAAAGCTTCTCTTTGAGGAGCGAACACAAGAAGACTGATTCAACTCCCGACTGGACTATTCCACTCACACCAGCTATAAGGGGACATCCTCATCCTCATCTTCATCCTCATCCAGGTCAGTGGAGCGTAGGCTTATGTCCTTGAGGATGTCTGAGATGTTTTCAGCAACTGGCCCTGTCAGCTCCATCTCTTCCAACTCAGTATCAGTGCCATCAGTGGAGGACAGGACTCCCCCCTCTTCATGCAAGTGTGAGGGCTGGGGGGATTGTGAGCTGGGAGGCAGTGGGGTCTCTGTGCCCAAGTCCGCTTCTTGCTGTGCTGCCACCATGCAGTCGTCCTGCTGGCTCCACACCTGACTGGTCTGTCTGACCTTCTCATTGCTGACAGAAGTCCGGTTGGTATCACGGAAACTGGCAAGGGGTGGGCGGAGGCGAACCCCAGAGCGTGTGGAACCCTCTATTGCCTTCTGGAGCTATGAGAAGAGAAAAATTTCAGAAAAAATGGATGAAAGGGAGGCTGACCCAGCCCTACCCACCAGAAGTTCATCTACTGTCCAGTCTAAAGGGATCACAAATAGAGTCCCTCTACCTCTGGGGCCTGTGGAGATCATCTTTTGCAGTGGTGGTGTAATTTTTCATTCCATCATAAATAACAAATTCCACACCACTTTCAGAGATGGTAATAGCCACTCAGTTAAGAGCCCTATGCTCATGAAAAGGATGAACCATCTAGCATCCCTGTAAACAACATCTGCTGCATCCTCTGAAATACAGTCATCCATTCGTCTACATGGCTTCCAAAAGGTTGACTCAGAATTCAACACTAGATTGAAAATGTAGCAATCACAGCTATACATATTCTCAGCTGGATCCTCCAGCACTTGTACGTTATTGCAATGATCCACAGGACATTTGCAGTTGATTAGGAGGAGATGAAAGGATCTCTACTTACCTCTTCCAAAGCCAACACTCCCCTCAGCTTTCCCATGCTGGTTACATAGGCATGACTGAGGCCCAGTAATGAGAACAATGTATGCGTCTATGAGCAAAAACACAAACAACCATTTCAGGGACTTTGGAACCTGGTAACATGATACCTGGTGCTAGAGCTGGGACTTGGAATTTAGAAACGGGAATCACAAAGGCGCATAAGTCTGCAGTTATCCCAGTGAGAAAATACCTCTCATCCCTTCCCCTTTTGCAGGTAGTTTTTCTTTTCTTCAGCCCTTTGGTAGTACAGCCATAGTTGGGAGTGTGTTGATGATGGAGAACACCTTCTCAAGGCCACTCCCACCCTGCATCTGGCAAACAGAGATTTATGCACAACCACTGTGTATTTGGGGACTTATGCAGATCCTATTTCATTTTGGTGCTGGACATTAAACTATCATATAGTAATATGCAGTCAGAACCTGCTTAGGTTATTTATTCCAGTGCTTTCCTTGGCACTAGAAGTTTCCTTTTTTACTGTTCCAGAATATTTCCTGTCAAAACTTAAGCTTGTTGCTGCTTATCCAGTGCAGTGTGAACACCGAGAACAAGTTATTCCCTTTCTCTTACAAAGCCTTCTTGAAAGGACAGATATCACACTGCTATTAGTCTTTTTTTCTTCAGCCTAAATATACCGCATTATTTTACTATTCTTCATAGATCAGGCTTTCTAAAACTTTCAGCATTCTCAGTGCCCACCTGTGGCGTATTTCCAACCTCCAAGTTCTTTAAGCTGAGGTCTAGCTGGACTTTATTTGTGGCCTTAAATTGAGTCATTCTTTCACAGCTGGTGCTTGCCTTTTTTTTTTTTTTTAACATCACATGAGGTATTGAATGCCACGTTCAAGTGTAAACTAAGGAAAATCTCATTTCTCAGAAACAAGGCATTTTATCCTAATGTAAAAGAAAATCAGACTGGTTAAATACAATTTGATCATGATAATCTGTGGTATTCTTGCCATTGTCAGTAGTCTCACATTTAGCTCTAACTATGCATACTTCAGATAGCTTGATTATTTATTCCTGAATTTTTTGTGCATCCAAGTTAAGTTGATGTGTCTGTTATTTCAGAGCTTCTCATTTACTCTTTTTTACGACAGGTATGAAACTTCCCCATTTGCAGTCTTCAGGTATCATTTCTTGTAACCCCTATATTCTCAAAGATAAATGCTAGTAATTTTCAGATTACTTCAGCCAGCCCTTTAGAAAATACCCAACTCAATTATATGCTAACCTGTTCTTATTTCACTCAAGTCTGAGATCTTACCCTTTTGATAACAGCAATTAATTAATTTTGTGCAAGGCATATGCTGACCATTCACGTTAAATGAATATTGATAAAAACATGCACTGTTGCTTCAGCAGACTGCTTTCTCTTTCTATTGAGTGAAAGCCCAGTCCTCTCTTATTCCTGATATACAATGATTGCTTTTATCCCCAGTCATTCTGTGCTAACTCTAGAAGTTGTATGACCCATCTTCCTCCTTCTTCGTGCTTCAGTTCAATGAAGAGCCGATGATATAGGGTGGTTTCAAGCAACATTTCTCATGCACTGAGGCTGTCTGTATGCCCTGACAAAAACACCGTGAGAAATCTAGGAGTAGTCACTCCAGTGCTGCGCACTGACAAAGCAGAGTGTAAATCTCAGTGTAATGCCCCCAGCAGCAAGGCTTACAATGCTTCTGTTAATGTAGTGGCTGGAAAATCCTACGTGGTGTCCAAAAGCTATTTTAATAACTGCACTCATACTTCTTATCATGTAGCCTTTCATTTTGCAGGAGACTGGAAGTACACACAGAAGGTTATAGGAACAAACTGACTTCTGTATATGGATGTGGAAGTAGCTGGTGATAGTAGTTGTAGGTGAAGACAAGGTGAAGAAATAAGTCATAGACTAGACTTGCAATAATAGATAGGGTGGAGAAAACCAGTGTATGCCTCAGAGAGACATCTGCACCCACCTTGTGCAGGGAAGTTCTCTCCACCAGTTGGAAAGGGGCAGGGTCTATGCGGCAGCTGTCAAAGCACACATTCTTGTTCAGCTCCTCCTGTTCCCAAGCATCTATCTGACACAGGAAAGAAGAGGAATCACTTTTACAGTAATCAGCAGTACTGCTGTCTTGTGTACCCAAACTAGTCCCATTCTCCTGTTAATGCTTCTTCCTTCCTATGTAGATCATTCACCTTCCCCGTTATATCACAGCCCTCAGGTTTCCAATCTTTTCCTTGCCAGATGGCAAGTCCCTATGGAAACAGAGCAATTCCAGTACCTCAGAGGTTTCCTGAGAAGGTGAGGTTTTGCTCCTTCCTGCTTAAAGAGGGAGCGAACATCTTAGCTTTCCTTTCTGAGTGCATCTTGACCTTGTCATTGCAAGATAATTGTTCCTTTGTGTAAAAAATGAAGGAACAATATAGACACACAGAAAGATTTAGGTGAGGGCGGACCTGTGGAGGTCTGTAGTCCAAAACCCTGCTCATAGCAGGGCTGACTTCAAAGCTAGATCAGATTAGTCAGAGCCTTACTCAGCACATCTAGCAGAAAGACCTCTTCTTTTATTGGGTGAGACTTGCACTCTGGGCAACTCTAAGAAGAAAATGGCTTGAGCTATGGCTTTATGTGGCAATCACTGAGGTTGTTGGAGTTCAGGATGTATTGCAAGTGATAGGAAATCAGCAAAAGAAGCACTCATTAACCTCACTCCCCTTCTGCACCCAGTCTTACCTCTTCTGGCCTCATTGTGTCAACGACTTCCACCGGCTCCTGTAAGAGAAAACACTGTTCGGGACAGAGAACCCACAGTTTCACAGAGTACAGAAAGGAAAAATTTGCACAGCCTCCTCACCCCATGTCATCCACTTTTTGTTCCAAATAGTGTATTACTGAGTGTTTAGATTTTCTTTATACTCACACATTATAAGATGTACTCTTTACTCAGTGTGCTTCCCTTGCCAATGAAGATTGATTATGGAATGCTGGTGGAGCAATTCAGGTGCCTAAACATGGTCAGCTAGTACTGCTTTAGATATCCCACATGGGGGTCAACCACTGCCCTAGAGTGGATGGTCTTCCATAGGCTTTGTATGATATCCGCCAACTCTGTGCAGATATATCAGATACCCAAGGGCATCTAAAATGGCTCAAGGCAAAATCATTTTTTATCTGGCCAAAACTGTTTGCCAAATGGAATAGAACTGCATTTTATTCCAGGTTAACCAAAATAGCATTAAGTTGATCAATGAGAAAAAGATGCCCACACTCAGTCATGATGGTGGCCTTGACACCTGAGCACATCTTTAGGAAGATGCACACTCCTTTACAGTAATCACACCCTTCTCCTTGGAGAGAGTTCCCCACTGATGCTGTCAGAGTTCAGAACCATAAGTGTGTCCATGCTTTGGCCAAATGCTGAATGGCTCTGTGTAGTAGATTCTATTTCCATTGCATTCCTTTCCCTCTTCAGAGTACTACTAGGCTCTCTGTATCCCTAACCTGGACGGCACTTTCTGTTTCGAGTGGACGGTTGTAATGGCACAAGAGCTGCTGGATCAGTTGCCTCAAACTCCTGAAATTGCCTGAAGGATGAAAACAAACACATGGATAAGAATGAAGAACAAGGGAGAGACAAAAACAGAAAGCTTCATGCCCAGCTCCTTGCCCAAGGCAGGCTGGTAAATAATATGAGGGCCATAGTAGATGGTATATGACAGGGCTGAGCCAGTCACAATCTAGCATTCAATTTGTCAGATGGTGTCTGGGACATGCCAGAATGAATATTCCCATGCAATATAGGAGACAAACCATTACAAAGTAGCCCTTTCAGATAATACTCATAGATGAGTGTCCTTGAAGAAAAAAAAACAAAACCCAGAAGCAAGATTACTAACACAGCAAACAATCTGATACAAGGGATAAACTGCTGTGATGAGAGGTTTCTGCAGTCCACAAAGAGAACGTAGTTTGGAGGATAAGTATGGAAAGCGGAGGTGAGAATTTGGATATTACTTCAAAGACAAAACATATCAACAGACTGCATGTGACAGGTACAAAAGGGTGAGGAGTCCATGGGTTGTGCCAGTAGTGTAATGGTGGGAATGAAAAAGACTGCAGAATTATTCTCCCAGGCAGGACAGTTGGGAATTACCAAAAAGGAGGAGATAGGGTTTGGTGCTGTTGGAGGAAGGTCGGTCAGAAACAATGACAGCTGTGAGCCAAACTGAAAATTATGGCAGGGAAAGCCTTGTGAAGTCACCCCATGCTCCACTTCCTCTGATCACTCCTGGATCACTCAGTACTAGCTTCATGTAAAATGTCTCTCACACTGTCCTTGTTTTGATGTGATTCTTTTTCTGCTTTGTTAAGGAAGGTGGATGGCTGTCCCACCATGTACTGCCCTGGAAGCATGAAGTGGATTTTCCTGTGTCTTACAGGTTTAGTCATACATGAGTGGTGTTAAGGAACCAGAATGTGCTATATGCTGGATTTTACGTGCTAACCTTTGGGTGCCTAAAGGCATGAGCTAAAGCCCTATCCTCTGTATTCATTCTCAAGACTGGGCTATACCTGCTTGGTTACTCACTGTCTGCATATTTCAAGACACATAAAGGAAAAAAAACCCACCGTACTGCATCAAATACACATGACATACGAATTAGAAATGAGCTATGAGTACAGTCTTGGAAGCAAAGCTAATAAAGGCTGGGGTGGCACACAAAGAACACAGTACATCAGTCTTTGTCCATCTTATTAATGGAGCTGAATCAAAGAGATGTGTGTCCAAGGGAGGAGCTATTACTGCCAAAGAGCAGCCTAAGTGGGCCGACTTTAGCCATGCTCTCTCAGGGATCACAAACAAAAGATATTTCCAGGTATGTTACACTGATGCTGAGGTGAAGTAACAAAGTACCTTTAATAGAGGAACCTTTAACAGAGGAGAGAAAACTCCTCGCAGTCTCTGGGAAATCAGTACCTCACGCAGGCACGTACACACAGTTAGCATGAAAACTTCCACAAGCTGGCTAAGATGTGGCTGGGGTATGCCAGAAGTTACCATACCTGGGAGTTGCTGTGGCTCCAAAGTTTCAGGTATTTGTTTAAGAGGACTTGTTGGGCCATTGGGCTCCTCTGGGTAACTGGGAGTGGGACTTGGGGGCCGAGGCAGCTGTTGTTGGAAAGGAGAGAAAACAAAGTTTACCCTGTGTCATTTCTTTCTCAGCCTCTGCAAATGCCTTACCGCTTCTTCAGCAGTCTCTGTGTTGCAGTCTCTCCACTTTTCTCCCTCACCTCTCCCTTCTCATCTGTATCCTCATCCTCATCAACATAAGCAAAAGATTCATGCTTCAGCTTTGGCAGGGTTGCCCACGGTCCCTTGCTGTGCCCATCGTAGGGTGCCTCAGACAGCTTCTGCTGCATTTCTCTGTTGAGGAGCCGTCGCCGTTCTGGGCTTATATGTCTCTGGAGGAGAGCCTGCAGCTCAGATCGCTCTACAGACCCCAGAAGGATCATGGTCTCTGCATAACAGAGCAGAGAAGCCGTTAAGCCACTTCAAGGTTTTGAACGTCCCCTGACACACACTGCCCCTTCCTCCCTCCAACCTCTTCAAAGTGCTCGGACTCATACTATCTAGAACTATACCAGTCATTGACCAGCCCTGCTAATTGCTGCTAAAACACTGTGGGGCTGTGGGCCACTCCTCAGCACCACATCAGAAGCAGGCTCTTTACTTATGCAAGATCCCTCCCTGGTGTCACAGTTCAGTCCACAAACTTCCCTCACACCTCCCTTACCTCCTATCTCTGCTCCTCTGCCCACACTCCGGCTTACCTGTCTGACCAGCTGAAACAGCCTTCTGTCATACATCCTCCATAGCGGAAGATTTTTAGGATGATTTTTTATGTAGCGGGTCACCCTGTCTCCTTCACAGCATGTAATTTGAAAGCTAGTTTCTTTGGCTCTTTAAGCCGAGACAGTCTTCAGGAAGGACCAGTTTCTCCACACTGCTTACCTGGCGAGTCCACCAAAGGCAAAGTCTTAACAGTGGTGCTTTGGAGTAGAGTTTGCAAGTCTCGGTATTTACAGTTGGAGGAGACAAATTTCACATCTTGGACCATAATATCCTCAACAAAGATATTGTATTTGCTGTGAATTTATGGACAATAAGGGGAAGAGTTAGCACATTAAAGATGTCTAGCAGATAAATTCCTTTAAAGTGTTCTCAACACAGTTGCTGAATAATCTTCTGTGAGAGTAACCAAAGAGGACTCTCCAACAGGATCAACACAGATTAACTGGATTTTCATCACACTTGTATTCCACTCCATTACCCTTCACCATAAAAATACACACATATATACACATATACATATAGATGTTTTATACATACATACCTATGCATATTACATATACACTAGAGAAGAAGACATCTATATGGATTTTGTTTAAAGCAAAATATCCAAAATAAAATGACATTTCAAACATTTGCTGGATAAAAAAAACCAAACCCCACTGAATTCAGAAAAAAATGGAAATGAGACACTTGAATTTTAAATTTTTAAACTGAAGCAATTTGGCAATATTAACACAAATTCAGTAATGTTGCAGATTATTCAAACCTGTGCTTTCAGTGAAAAAAATGAAAAAGACTTTTCTCCATTTCTGCGTACGAACCCTAATTCTACTGCACCACTTGTTTTTTCTCACTGCAAGCATATTCTGCCTTTTTATTTTCTTTGTAGTACCCTCCCCTTTTCATGACCTTTTATTCTCCCACGGTTTCATCCTCTTCTGCTTTATTTCTTTGCCACTCCCCACCTCCACCTATGTTCTACCACTGTACCTTATGGGATTCCAGCCCAGGTCTGGCAGGTAGGGCAACTTCTTCACCTGGATGATGCTATCATAGAGGCTGGGCTGCAGACTCTGGGCCACCATGTTGGCAAGAATGACAGCCACCATCATGGGGAGGATGTGAGAGATCTGACCTGTCAGCTCGAAGCAGATCACAGCAGTGGAGACAGTGTGGCTCACCGCTCCTGTCAGAGCTGCTGCACCTTTCCCAGGTAGTGTAGAAAAGACATAGGGAGAGAAGACGACTGTCATAAAGAAACGGCATGTCACGTCAACCAGGAAAGTCATGGGGATGGGGCCAGGTGAAGAAAAAGAAGACATGGAGACTCACCAATGACAGCATACCCTCCAGGTAAAATTTGATAAACGATACCATCAAAGAGGATCCCGTTGGGAAAAAGTGATGCCGTGATTTCCCCAATAAGACGCCCAAATGCGGCACCTGGAAAATATCACTGACAATTATGGAATTAACATCTAAGGGACACCCAGTCTGTGCTGTGCAGCTGTGCTTGGCAACCACTTGAGTATTTTCTAACAGAAACAAAATCAAAACTTACATTAAAATGACACTGGGGACTAAAGAGTAGTTCTCAGTTACAAAATATAGAAGTTAGACTCCAAGAAGAGAAAAATGTACTAAGATATGTAAATACAGTTAACCCCTTATCCTTCCATTTCGGGACATTCAAGGCACAGTGGTATTTGTTATTCTCAGGTAGGAGGAAATGTTTTCAGAATAAATACAATGTCAGTCCAAATCAAAGTTGAGGCCCTTCACATGCTCATTCTATGAATGTCCAAACACTATAATCACAGCTTATGGAAGGGTTTAGGTGGGAAGGGTCTTTTGGAGGTCTTGTTCTGATCTCTGCTCACAACTGGGCTGATATAAAAGTGAGATCAGGTCACCCAGGGCATTGTCCAGACAAGCTTTAAAAGTCTGCAAGGGTGCAGATTCTCCAGCCTTTCTGAGCACCTTAACCAAGCAAACATTTCTTTTCTTATGTTCCGTCAGAATTTCCCCTGTTGCAACTTGTGCCTTGGCCTCCTATTTACTGTGTGTCTCTAAAAGGAGTCTTTCTGTCCTCTCTGTCCCCTGCTGCATTAGGTGGTGAAGGCCGCAGTTAGATCCCCTTTCAGCAGGCTGAACACGCCCAACTTCTTCTGGCTCTCCTTGTGTGTTTTGTGCTCCATCTCCCCAACAACTCCAGTGGCCTCACTGGACTCATTGCACTTTGTCAAAATCTCTTGTATTGATGGACACAAAATAGCACAATATTCCAGAATTGCGTCCAAAATGCTGAATGCAAGGAAATAACCAATTTCTTTGCCTTGCTGGCTAGGCTTTTCCTAATACAGCCTTGTTTGTCGTTAGCTTTCATCTCTGCAAGGGCATGCTACTGACTCATGTTCAGTTGTTATCTGCCAGAACTCAGAGGTCCTTGGTGCACACCATTTCATTTAAGAGCTGTGGGTACTTAATACTGAACTTCATGAACTTGTATACTTCAGCCTAATGTAGCCTCTCATTCTTAACATTAGCGCCACATTCTTTTTATTTTTTTGGTCTTGGAATTAAAACCAGTTAAAAACCAATAAACTCCCGTATGCTACCATATTTCAGTCAGAAGAAATGAATAAGTGGTGGATTACATTGCAGGTACTAGTTTTGAGGTTATCTCTTCTAGTTGGCTTTCAGGGGTGAGAGGAACAACTACTAATAATTGTAGGATGAAAGTTTCTCTGTAGGTGAAGAGGCAGAGAAATTAGAAGGCCATGACACAGCATGCCTCCCCACAGTGTGGCTTTCCTTATGTAAAAGGACAGGGATTTCCTCCTCAATGTTTGGATTTGGGGAGTGGGAAAATGACAAAAGCAGAGGCTCAGAGGCTGGTATATGGACTGTTAACAGAGCTTGTCATAGACATCAAGTGATGACTCCTCATCCACTAGAAGAAACCTACTGGGTACGTATGCGATGTCTCTCTTACCCTCTCCACCCGTCAGACCAATATGCTGCAACACAAAACTGAAACTCACCTAGAACAAAAACAGGCATGAAGCCTCCACAGGGGATTGGCATCGTGGTAGCAATGACAGACATGCAGAACTAGAACAGAGGCAGAGGGTGCAGTTGTTACTGAGCAGCAATAGCATTTCCTGCAGCCTCACTCTACTGCCCAGCCTGTGAATCAATGAGAAGACATGTTCTGAGGGATCTGGCAGTTCAGCCAGACAATGAAGGGTAAAGGGGCTGTGGGATGTCAAGTGGAGCTGGAGGAACTCGGACAACACACCAACACTGATGCAGAGGACCTCTGGGTGACTGCTGTGGTGGCAGGGAAGTTGAATCACCAAGGGGATGGATGAACGTGAGAACTCCTTTGCCTTGGACCTCGGAACTTGAGGTTTCTTACTGCACCAAGCAGCTTAGCTTTTCATAGAACAAGGTTGCCAGAGAACAAGACTTCAGTGTGAAGGGAACTCTGGAAGTGTCTCCCCCAACTCCCTGAAGGGCTAATTCCTACGTTAGATCAGGTTGCTTATCCAGGTGACTTCTGAACATCTTTAAGGGCGGAGATTCCCCAGCTTTTCTGGGCATTTGTGCCACTGCTGACCCACACTCAGGGGAGAATTTTTTCCTGAATTCCAACTGTCATAAGTTTCCTTTATTCTAACTTGTGTTTGTTGTCTCTTGTCCTATCACTATGTTGGGCAAAATGATGAAACCCATCCTGGTACTGCTAAAACCAATTCAAATGCTGACTTAGCCCAGCACACATAGACTTATTCTGGAGGCAACAGCCTAACCTTACAAACACCTCAAAGGCCAATACACTCAGACTTTCTCAGGCAATATGACAAGAGATATCCACAGTTGAAGAAAACACAGAGAATGCTGCTGTTTCAAAAGCTTGTACAAAGAAGTGTACTGGCAAGATGTCCCTTGCTGTAGTAGCATCATCCATAGGAGAGAGACAACCATGGTCCAGTACATCAAGAGCACTACTTTCAGGTATTTTGGGACCATATTCTCCCCTGAGTGGGGAAATCCTTCCTGTTCAAGGTCCACCTCGGAGGAGGTGATGCCTCTGCAGACATTCTTGTAGATGTAGACAGAAGAAATACTAATCTGTAGACAGACAGTTTGATGAGAGGAAATCTACCTAACAGCTTTTCTGTTGTAACTGTCATGGGATGGTTGTCATAAAAGGGAAAATGAAGCCAAGATACAGCCTGCCATTTAGGAAAGCCCCCCTACAAAGGTAACAAAGAACCCACAGAACAGCATTTCTCAGCCCATGGTAGAGGAACATGATGTGAGGATGGGTGGGCTCATCAATTTGATACTGGCTGTTCCTCTTCCATCCATAAGCCATTTGAATATTCAAGAGGAGAAGCTCCTGGCTGGCTTCAGAGGCTAGCAAGCTGCAGAAGTGGAGTACTGCTAACTAAGCTCTGTGTTTGTGGTACGAAACCCAGACCAAATACAGCTGAGATCTGGGACTGTAGCGTAGTGGAGAATCAGGCAAAGTCTTTGCCCAAAGTTGAAACAGCAGTCATTTTTATGTGGTCTCTTCCCAACTCTGAATATATCCAGAAGAAAATAAACTGCTTGGAGCTGTTATCTAGTGAGTTGAGAAGCTCTTTAGTTAATGGGACAAGGCCAATGAATCTAGTGTCTGAGGACACAGCTCTTCCAAAGGAGAAGAGATGGACTCAGGATAGATACGCCATGTAGTCCATCCCCTAACCAGAACTATCACAGAAGCAGAACTCTTAACTGCCTGTCAGAAATTCAATACAGTGTTTTACTTTAGGTGGAATCAGCTGTGTCAATCAATCATTGGTGTCCATTCCTGATCTACTGAAATGTTCAACTGATATTACAAGGCGGCCTCAGCTCTTTTGCTCCTTTGCAACAAAAAAAAAATCACCATTTCTATGATAGTTTTACTGTTTTATCTCTACCTTCCAATGCCACACCTCTTAAAAACCCTCTTTCTTGCTACTTGTATTTTGAACACTGGAATATAATATTTTCTTCTTTCAAATGTCTTCTCTTGCTCTGTCATGTATCAGTTACACAGTTGATCCTCTCAGAGGCTGAACAGTTGCAACTTCTGCACACCATGTCAGCTCAGAACATTTAATATGTTGTTGCTTTCTGAGAAGTGAACAAGACTGTTTTAAGCTGCATTTCTCTATCCAGTTACGGTATTGCTAACAAATCCTTGAGCCTCACAAAACTAGAGATCGTGCTTGCATAGTCTTATTTATCTCCTATCTGTAGTCAGGAATATCAAGAAGATGGTATCAGACTTTATTTAGACCAAATATAAAATATCTGAGAGCTTTTTACTCAACTATTTATTTTTGTGGAACTTGAGAAATCTTTCCTGCTGTAGTCCTTCCTACCAAATACTACACAGTGGGGACCAAGAGTCATTCAGCAGGATGCATGAGGAAGATGACCTAGGGAAGCAGTGAAGGAGGTCACTATATTTAGGCCAGGGAAATACTCTGTAATAATTTTGATAATCTTGCATTCAAGGCAGGCAAACATCACATCAAAAGATGTAAGAACCCATTGCTGTTGTAGTGCTTCATTCAATACCCAGCAACTCCTCATTGGCAGTTCACAAACTATTTTACGAAGGATCAAGAGCATTCACTCTGAGTGGAGAAGGTTTATGGTGAGCTGGGTTTCCTACCTTCACGAGAAAGAAGAGCAAGATGATGATGAAGACGCTGACTTTAGGATGTATCCAGGCAGCAGATTTCCCTAGGATCGCAGGGTCCCCTGTGTATTTTGCCCAGGTATAGTTATCGAAGAGAGAGCTGATGGCTTCCCGTGGCATCAACTAAACAGCAAAAAACCAGGCATGAGCCATGAGATTAGACCAAGTAAATATTCTACCTCTTTTCCAAGAAAATGGAGAAGATTTTTACTTAGGTAATTCATGATTATGAGATTTAATTCGCATTTTTAATCTTCAGGAAGAGAGACAGGACTTTACCTGAACTGGTGAAAGGATAACTACTTTTACATATGGGGTGACATCTTCCTTATTACTTGCTTAGGAGAGTGGACCTTTATCAAGTTTTATATGAAGGAGATAGCAGAGACCGTAAATCTCAGTATATAGTCCTTCCTCAGGCCAAACTCCTCCTGTATCTTTCTTCCCCTTTCCACGACATAAGGTTATTGGGGCACAGGATAAGGGCAGACTGTTCCGCAGAATTGCACAGAATTGCAAATACATATCCCACTCTCACCTCTCCTGCCATGAACTGCCCAAATCCGGGAGGAAAGGTCACAGTTGCTATAAGGAAGGTTATAACCCCAGGGTATACAAGGCGGCTGAAAAGAAAGAAAGGTTTATTGAAATATAACCTCACATACTTTTCTTGTAGCACTATCACTTCAGGACTAGGGATGCTATTTCTGTGAAAGCTCTCTGCCATATTTGTATCTGTTGCTTTAGAGTTCTGTTACTGGCAATTTAATGCCCCGCTCCACTGATCATCATCATTCATAGAGAGTTCAACTGTCAGCAAAGCCATTTTTCCCATCAGAATTAATGTAATGGAGGGATGGAGGGACAGAGGGACATATAAAATGCATAAACTTGAATACGCAGTGGGGCAGATGTGTATTTACGATGATGTGTTGACCTATTGTCAAAAGCCAGCACCTCCTCCATTTGTCCTGATTATGCCAGTCTTGCTTCTACATCACCCATGCAATGTATCCTGTCCCAATGTATTCAAATGTAGGGGTTTCTCATATGTTTCTGCATGCATCCCCCATTGCACTAATTCTTATAAGGAAAACTGCTTTTCTTTCTATTGGATTGCTGATCGTCACAATTTTTGGGAAGGTGTCCTTGGTGGCCAGTGGGTTTAGCTGTGCCGGGCCAGTGGGGCATAGCTGGAGAGCAGAGTGAAGCCATCTGTGTTTTCCTACTGCTGTGTCCACTCCCAGGATGTGTTTCCGAGTACACTGGAACACCTCATGGGCATGAAGAAAACATGAGTCTAAGCTGACTCCATGTGCTGGACTAAGCCTGTCAGGTCTCCCCTGACAAATTACTCTGTTCCCTACAGGAAGTTCTGGCTGAGATGCTGTGGTAAGCAGGAAGACAAAATATAACCTTTAATTTCTTTCAGTTTAAGGACCAACAAAATTCGGAGAAATTAGTCCAAAGTTTTAAGCAAATTGGTGGCTCTGCTGGTGCTTGTGGGTAATGCTACATAATGAAGAAAGACAGTTTTTCTCCTACATAATAAATTAAGTTAGTTTGAACTTCTTTTTAACTAGTGGGTTTCTTCTGCTCAGATCTGCAACTTGCTAAGAAATATAGGTCCTCCACAACTCTCAAATGAAAAAATTCTTACGGCATCAGATTTCTTATGTAAAGAGTCTGAAAACATTTGCAGTTAGTAAATGTTACAGCTACCTTTTCTTCTTCAGGTTATAACTTTGGAGGTTATAACTTTATTAGAGAGGGAAGAAAAGTATCTTCAAGTGTCCCGTAAAACCTTTATTGATAAGATTTTAATTTTGTTTTGCATTTCTCTTCCATGCTGCAATTCACACCATTTTGTTACTATCAGTGTCAGCTTCTGTTTGTAAGTATGCAACAATTGCAATACTGCAGCACATTCTTTACATTTTTGTTAAAAAAAAAAAAGATTTTACAGACATAGTTAGATTTCAGTTGTATTACATTTTCTTAAAATATAAATGATGTTGAATTTTTTTTTTACAGATTCTAAAAAAAACCCACCAGAAGCAGCATGATCTTAAGAAGCACGATCATTGATTTTCTAATTATAACCAGTTTCTGTCTAATCAATAGTTTCCCTTGTCCTCTTAATGAATATGACAGATTCTCCCTTCTAAATCAAGAAGCTATTTGAAACTATTGAGGATGATCAAGAAGAAAATCTAGTGTAGAACAAATTCTCTTGATGTTTGCAGATATCTTACTCACAGAATTTCAGTTTCGCATATTTTTACTATCTTACATTTCAAATAGTTCTAGTAGCTTCCAGAAAGCATTTGTTAATATATATATTTTTATATATGTTAAATATATATGTATTTTATTCTAGTAGGGTATAAAAATCTGGTCCCTAAAGAGAGTATTTTCAAAGGCACTCACTATTTGGTGAGAAACTGGCTCAGAGTCGTATGACGCCGGATGCATAGGACCACTTGGCGATTAAGATAAACAAAAAACGCTCCAAGGAATCCAGAACATATCCTAAAGTGGAGAGAAAGAAAATTATACCAAAAACCAAATAATACACAAACCATCAACCAAGAAAATGAGTTTAAGTGTTTTCATCTTCAGATGTTTCTGAAGTCTTTTAAATATCACCTAGAGGGTTACTCCTACAGCAACTCACTTGAAGACATTAACTCCCTGATAAAATGGGAGAGATTATTTTGGACCTGTTTTTCACACACACTGACATTTTACCCCTTAAATTTTCTCTTGCTTAGAGGGGGAAATCTCATCTATAAAAACCTATAAAATAATCTATAAAAATAACCTATAAAAAGGGACTGACAGATCTCAGCGGGGGCTGGCAAAGAGCAACTGGATAAAGACAAGTATTGTGAGAACTTAGACATCAGGTTGGAACAGGAAATAGCAAAAATGAAAGGAATTTAACTCTGTTTCGGCAAAATTATACACCTACATCAAATATTAAAAGTAATCTTGTGCCTAAAGCAAAGTATGTCATCTCCATGATCCTAATCACTTAGGCCTACATTCCTGATCCTAATAAAGTCAAAAAAAGTATAGCTTTCTAAGGACTGGCCTTGATCCTTATGTTCTGTAGCTTAATGACACCTGGAGAAATAGGGCCTAATACTCAAAGGCTAAGTAAAAAAATAAAAAGAGTGAAAAAAGACTGCATTTAGAATTGTTAAGGGAAGTATTTTATGTGGTGAATAATTAACCTACAAAATACTGGGGAGAAACAGATAACATTTTCATTCTATTAATTTTTAAAATTAATGGAATTTTCCTTTGTTATATGCTATGCAGGCTTTTGCCAAATCTCATTCAAACATTAATTAAGCTTACTTAAAAGGTTGTATGTTGAAAAAAACCTGCTTGATCATTTAAAAATTGCAAAGAAACAAGTTTAAACTTAAATATAAAGCTGTTCACAGCCAAACATGTCCAATGAACTTCTCTTAAATATGTTAAGCCAGCACTGTTTAGTACTAGAGTTAAAATAGACCAGTCCCTTAGGCAATATAAGCCTAAGGGCTGCATGGTGAACTGAATTTCTTTATAACACTTTATATTAAAAAACAGATCCCTCCATTCCTGCCTATGAATTTATCAATTAAATAGAAGTGTTCCTGCTGTATGTATTTTGCAAATTAACAACATTTGCTGACACAGAAGAAAAAGATCTACCTGTTAATAGTGCCTGGGCTGGCTCATTTTTTTTTTTCCTACCTGAATGTGAAGAAATATGTTGGATAGAAAGAGATTTCAGCTTTGAGACTTAATGTTAAGAAACTTTGGAGCATTCCAAGTTGGTGTCAGGACTTTATCCAAGACTATACAAGTCTAGACTTTTTTTTTTTTTAAAAAAAATACTGCATTGGATACCCAGGCATTTGAAAGCATTTCACAGTTGTCATATACTCCTTTCCTAGTCTATGTGCAGTACTGAAGAAAAGCAGTCCTGCCAACTCTGTTCAAAACACAATGACAAGAAGTTTTGCATTCTATCAGCTGTAAATCATAAGGATTACCTTTTTCCTTGTCAATCTAAACAAATAGATTCCCTCGAGTTCAGCATGCAAGTCTATTTAAGAAGAAAAAGGTAGATACATATTACTAGCAAAAGCTCCTGTGTATTCATATATTTTCGACATATTTGATGTTTCAAAAAATCCCACTTGAGTTCATATTAGTGGATATGAGGGCAGCCTACTAAAAGGAACCTCAAATATATTTCTGGTCTGAGATCCACATCTTGCAATAGAATATGCTCACAATGCCAGCACAGGTATTTGTTCCTACAGTGTATTCCCTTCACTACTACTCTGCAGTGATTTCCCTGGAGCCTCTCTCAAGTTCTAACCCAAGCTTTTCCTCACAGCAATTCCAAACTGTTTTTCTCTAGTATTTCCCAATTCTATTCTCATTTTTCTATAGTTCATTCTTTCACTTCCCAAAATTTCCTCCATAAATGAAACCGACTCAGCTATCTCCACAAATAAAATAAAACTGACATCTTCATAAAGTAACCGTTGTTCTCCCTGAATCCAATTACAGTTCAGTTACTCTTGCCACCTTGTCGAATGTACTAACCTCTCTTGAGAAGGATAACCATTTTGACCTTGTAAAAGGGAAACTTCCTGGTTAAATCTTTTGTCCTACTTTTTTTTTTAATGAAAAGGCCATACTTGTTTGGTCAGTTCATTTGAGGATGCCATCAAAACAGTTCAAGGGCCAGTCAGTAAATCTATACCCAGAACCAGACCAAGTTAGACTTACTTTTTTTTCCAGAACTTAATTTCTGAAAAAGATATATGGAAAGGAAATAACAAGCATCTTGATAATACCTACATTTCCTTCCTTACCCATTGTGCTACATGGGCACCATTTCTGAAGGAGGAATATCAACAAGCAGAGGGCTTATTTGTGACAATCAAGATGTCTAAAAGAGATGCACATAACTGTTTTGCAAAAGAATTCCTAACGGAGCTCACATGATAGAGCAAGGAGCCAGGTTCCCGGGAACTTACCCTATTACAGCAAATGCTGGAAGCTCTTGCAGATCAAAGGGGAAATCCATGCGAAAATTCGTTCTGAACAGGGCAGTGATGGTAACTGTGAGAGAAGAAGGAGGTAGAGGAGGAAAGGGAATAATGATGTGAGAAGTTAAATGCCATAAAAGCTAGGGGTAGGGACAGGGGAACTAGTTTGTACATGCTCCTGTGTGGTTTCTTTATATTATGTACAATATTACAGATTGGAATATTGCTCTTATTTTCGTAGTGCCTATTTTTGAGCACTTGCAACATGAACAGTCCAGATGGTACAGGTTTGTTTTCAGAGAACGTATATATTGTTTAGCTACAATTCCAGATTTTTAAAGGGTTTTCTTTCTTTTACCATCCATTCTCTAGAAAATAAAAACTCTTCCCATTATGCTCACTGACTCTGAAAACTCTCCTTGCAAAGGCAGGTGGTGCTTACATATCTGGAGAAGCTATGTCACAAACAGTTGTGATTGCCTTCTAGAAACAAAACTCAGATCCTCTCTGAACTTAAATCTGCAAAATTTTTGTCTGGTACCAAAAGAATGAAAGTCTTAGAAATCAGAGATGGAAAATATCAGCTAAGCCTCATCTTCTCCAGCTCACCTCTCCTGGTAGCACTGCACTGTGAAAAAGACTCAGATGCTGAAACCTGTCCTGCTTTTACATGGAGGTACCTAATTGTATGGAAACAGTAAACATCTGTATGCCAACAGGTGATGTACAAATTAGCAATCTAGTGCAGAGTGGAAATGCGGCTGAATGAGGACAGATATAAGTCCCATCTTGCCCTGGATGAAGAAACTATTTGCACAATGAGGAAAGAAAAGAAGCAGTATGTGATTATTACAGGAGGTATAAATTACTTGTTAATTGGCCGGACAGGACTAGGTTTAGAGCAATGATTTAATCAGACCTCTGTGGGTTACATTACATAAGATAGCTAAGCCTGTCTAACCGCGTGCTGCTATTCAAAATGGGAAGATCTTACTCCCTACCTCTTCACCCCTTTCCTTCCCTCCTGGATGCACTGTTCTCCTCTCCTGTCAGACCCACTCTGACACATGTCAAAGTCTTCACTGAGTTCTTTCACCTCATTAAAACCTACCAGAAAACCTGTCTGCTCTTTTCCGGGGTCAGTCCTCCGCCAGGGAAGTGAGTTGAATGGAGGGGTCCAGTGAACACAGAGATGGTACAAGGGAGGGGTAGAAGAACAGTCAGGGATGGAAGATGGTGAAAAGTGGGATGTCAGGTTGTCCTCTTTTTTGTTAGACCAACCCAAGAAAGGGATCGTGTCAATTCAGTTTTAGGAAACAGATAGTCCAAGCCACTAAATGACAGTGCATTAAAAAACATAGCAGAACTCACTTTCAAAGTTTTCCGACAGGACGGCAAAGATGACCAGAGCAAAGGGAAACAGTCACAGCACTTAGTCTGAGTCTTTCTAGGTTGCCTCTCTGCTCCCTCAAGACAGAAGCAGATTAATACAGAAAGATTCATCCCACCTACCTTCCTCGTCTTTCCTAAGTGACTAAGCCATCCTGAAACTGAATGGTTAAGCCCTTTTCTCTCCATTGGATACAAACTCCACCGGTTTATAGTAGCTGTCCAACTCTTACGAGGTGAAAGTTAAAAGAAGTAAAAAGAAATAAGAAAGTCTAGTTAATGGGCAAGTCTACTTAAAAAAGCTTTGAACTGTAAAATAACATTGACCCATGTGTAGAAGTGATCAGAAGAAGCTGGAAGAACACAAGGTGTAAAACTCTATGGCAAACAAGATGAAGGCTCAGGACATGGTGAAACAGAAATCCTGCAAATTGCAGAACTCCGGTCTTCCATGATTAACAAACAGGGGCCTAAGTTTCAGCAGACAACCAGAGTGGGCTGATGTTATTTGGAAAGTACAGATAATGGTGTAAAGCCAGCCAACAAAGCCATCAGTATCCAGAAGCCAGCAAAGATTTTGTGGGTCAAAGAAAGAAAAGAATTTTGGTGAGATGCTACACAACTTATTTGCATCTATCTACTCTGATGTGATTGCTTCTCTACCTGCTACTTCCTGGTGCAGTTTGGAGGTAAAAAATTACAATAAAACAGGTGTTAAACAAGCTGCAAGCTTAAAAGGTGTTAAGATCTGAGGCAGATTAGGCATGAGGTGGATGAGCCATTTAAAAAAAATAATTCACCTTCTTTAATGAACATCAGGGCTTCCAGGGACTGGAGGGGGACCAATGGGTAGCATATGTATTTAAGAAGGTTGTGGGGCAATGTGGTCGAAGAGAGCTGTGCATTAGCCCCTGCCAAATTGGTAAAATACATATAGATTTTAAAAGCAAGCACAACCCTGGAAGTACCTATTTTGAACTTCAAAGCCAAGGAAAAAACCCAAAGATTATTCAAATGAATAAAAACTTTGTGATGTGGAGGGTTTTTTTTTTTGTTTTTTTTTTTTTTTTTTTTTTTTTTTTTTTTTAACAAAACAGTAAAACCAGATTAAGGGGAATGGTATTTATTTCGATTATTAAGAAGTCCCACATGAGGCTGTGGAGCCTTGTGTAGAGGTCCACAGATTAAACAGCAAAAGGGGAAATGTTGTCATGGATCAGAAGCTAGACCAGAGAGAGAAAAAAAGTGAGTTTATCATGTCAGACATGTAATGATACATGTCATAGTACATACGTGGCAGGAGTTGCTAATTGTTGTCTTGGGGCCATGGTGTTAAATGGATTTCTTCAGAGGTCAATATGGGAGCTGATTCTGTTTAACATCTGCATCAAGATCCTAGATGATGGAACCCACTCATCAGTGACCATACTGAACTGGGAATGGAGAAAAGGGGGTGGTTTTTCGCCTAGAGGGCTTCACTCAGGGTGGTCTCCACAAACTGGAGGAACTTACTAGTAGGAACATCATAAATTCAACAAAGACAAATATTTAGTCCTGCACCTGGAATGGCAGGTGTATCAGTACAGCCTGGGGGACTAGTGAACAGGAAAAGCTCTGCTCTCATGCCAGAGGGTTCTGGTGGATACGATGCTTAATATGTGCCTTTGTGGCAATGAAAGATAACCACATACTGGGCCACAACAGCAAAAGTATAACCAGCTGGTTGAGGGTGGTGATTATTTCCTTCTATATGGCACTGATGAAGCCACATCTAGAAAACCCAGTACCAATGAAATGTTCCAGAACTGGAGAGAGCCCAGTGGTGACCCCCAAGATGGACCAGGGCATGGGCACCAGGAGAGGCTGCAGGAACTAGGTCTACTCAGCCTGGAAACAAGAAGGCCCAAGGGGCTTCTGACAGCAGTCTCCCTTCATGCAGAAGTTGTGAAGACACAGTGAAAGAAAAAGAGGCAATGAGCACAAGTTCCAGCAAGGGAATTTTGTCTACATATGATGAGAAAATGCTTCCTTTTGGAGAGGTGGTTCAGTACTGGAACAGATGCCACGAGAGGCAGAGGAAAGTTGTCCTTGCTGTAAGCAGGAGTTTGGAGTAGAGAGCTCCAGGGGTCTCCTCCAAACTAAATCTTTCTATGATTCTATGATACAGAATTTTCTGTGGAAGAGAGCAAAACCTGCACGATACTGAATCAGTTTACCCTTATTGGAAGCAGAGAGGATTGCATAAGAAAGGCAATATTCTTTGTTGATGAGTGCAAAGTAATGCAGTAAGGGAAGATTATTCATACATTAGAAAGGAATCTAATTTAACTATAGTATTTCAAGAAAGAGAGTTGGATCAGTGTAGACAAATCTAAGAAAATGGCCTTTATACCTTTTTCCTAACTACAGCTGCTAGAAATGTGCAAAATCTGCATAAAAATTGTATCATAATTCACAGTATTGCATTGCAATATTGTAATGCCTTCCAAGAGACCCATGCAATAGCCATACCTGCTTGGAACTTTCATTATCTTATCTCAAAAATATTCTGGAGGAAGATGGCAAATGCCTGCCTAAGCAGAAAAGTTAGTTCACATATTAAGTATGAATTTGCAATAGCTTACATGTTCTGCATGTTCATTAAAGGTAGATGCACATAGCGCACATTAAGGGAAGCAATTTCTTCCACTTTCAAGTACATTGCCCTACCTCATACAAAGACTTTCCTACGGGGTGATAATAGTAGCCATACAGCAGACTAGCACAAAGACATCCACTTATCTACTGAGTGCGTAACTTCTGGGAGCAGGCAAGATTTTAGAGATTGTGAAGACATCAGAGAGGAGACCTAAGAAAAATCCTTGCATGAACAAAGACTGAAAAGACCAGGCTCTTAACTTTCAGAAGGAAACGAGCAAGAAAATACATGAAAGATAAGTGAGAGCAGGCATGATAAAAGATCATAAAATAACAAATGACTTAGCTAGACAAAAGTTTCTAGTTCCTTAATACAAGGAGAAAGAGACTGGCAACAAGACAAAGAAAATTCAGAACTGTGAAAAAGAACTATTTTTCATAGACAATTGGATCATGGAACTTTTTCACCCAGACAGTCAATGAAGCAGAACGTAAGGAGCCATTAATGTGGGTATTAAAGTGTCTGGATGATTTTGAAGAAGGGACAGTAATTAAGATGTTTCAGGATTAAACTCATTTCTAATGATTTGGGAGATCAGCAAGGGAGCTAGAGTAGATAAAGTGAAGGATAGGATGTTATCTTCTGTCATCTGTCTTTGGATTTCTTATATTTTCCACTGGAAAGAACAAAAAGATGGGTTTTTTTTTTGTGACAGGTCTGATGCTTGAACACCCCTCAATATAAGGCAGTGTTTCACAAACAAAGGTGTAGTAACTTTCTGCATTCAAGTAGAAAGTGTAATCAGTTTCTATATTCAAGAGAACATTAAAGCCAAATAATGTTTTAGCACAAAAGAAGTTCAACCCTGTGAAGTCAGGAGAGACATAAGTCATACCAGTTTTAAGTAAGGGAACTGCAGTCATGGAGCTCAGATCAATAAAACAGATAATACTGTAAAAATAAGACAAAGATATTATAAGGGAGGTGATTCTACCCCTCTACTCTGCTCTCGTGAGACCCCACCTGGAGTACTACGTCCAGCTCTGGAGTCCTCAGCACAAGAAGGACATGGACCTGTTGGAGTGGGTCCAGAGGAGGGCCACAAAGACGATTAGAGGGCAGGAGCACCTCTCCTATGAGGACAGGCTGAGAGAGTTGGGGTTGCTCAGCCTGGAGAAGAGAGGGCTCTGGGGAGACCTTATAGCAGCCTTCCAGTATCTGAGGGGGGCCTACAAGAAGGCTGGGGAGAGACTTTTTTCAAGGACATATAGTGATAGACAAGGGGTAATGTCTTCAAACTGGAAGAGGGTAGGTTTAGATTAGCTATTAGGAAGAAATTTTTCACTGTGAGGGTGGGGATACACTGGAACATGTTGCCCAGAGAAGCTGTGGATGTCCCATCCCTGGAGGTGTTTAAGGCCAGGTTGGATGGGGCTTTGGGCAACCTGGTCTAGTGGGAGGTGTCCCTGCCCATGGCAGGGCGGTTAGAACTAGGTGATCTTTAATGTCCCCCTGCAGGGAGGTTGGAACTAGATGATCTCTAAGGTCCTTCCTGACCTAAACTATCCTATGATTCTTTGATAAGGAAGAAGTTTACAAAGAAATGGCAGCCACCTTCATCAGCTGGACCTCCATTCCCACAGTATCTGAGATGCTCTCCTGAACAAGCTTGTCCTGTGTTATTTTCGTCTGCACAAACGTTGCACTCATGCTTTTCAGTTACTTGGAACAGTTATGTTTTCAAGGACCTTCAGTCAGACTCTACCAGTGTTGTAGCCTTCCTAATCGTTTTATCATTTCAATTTTCTAGACCAGTTGGTTTTTATGCTTCTTGTCAAGAGATGACCAAAGCTGCATTTCCAGCAGCGTACACTGTAGTATGTATTACGTCCTCTGTGATGGGATACCTCTATGTTTGCAACCTTGACATTATGCTGAGTAGCAGCAAAAATCCCACCTCAGGGGCCCTCTTACTTGCTGAGGACTCTTATTTAGTAGTTTTTCAGTCACATTCCCAGCACACCTAGGAGTAAGTTGGGTTAGACAATTGATGACATAAGATACTTCACTTTCTCTTTCCTTCTGTACTGCTGGAATCCACATGTCATGGCAAAAGTTTCAAACATCTCATACGAGGTTGTGGCTTTGAGGAAGATGCAAAATAATAAATTAATAGAGCAACTTTTATACAAAGAGAGTAGGAATGGCTCTTAGCTTACCTGCATCCTTGTTCCAAACAGCAAGAACTCGGAAAATGAAGGCGCTAAAGGTAGCTGCAAAGAAACCTCTCCAATAATTGCGCACAGCAAAGTAGGTGGAAGTGACCTCAATGCTGAAAAGGACACCTAGAAAGAATTGGAAAAGGAGCAAAGTTAAAATCAGAAGTGTGATGTTAGAAGAGTGATAGAGGCTTCTAAATAGTCTTCTAGAGCAGTGGTCTCCAGACTTCTTTGCTCATGCATCCCTACCAATAAAAGATTTTTGAGCAGGTACCCCTAATATAGGTCTATATATTTAAAAATTACATAAATGTACTACTATACAATACAAAACATATAAAAAACCCCAAACCAGGATGAGGTACAGATGAAATAAACAAAATCTTTAAAAGTATTTGTTTTATTTATTAATGGAACAAAAAATATCGATATTATTTCATTTTGAAATCTTGGTTTAACATTTTGTGATAAAGTGATTTAAAGGTCTGGTTCTACTCTCAGTTTATTTTGATACTTGGTCCTAATGGCTATCATAGCTGAAAAAGATATCTCACAAAGATACATAGAACCAAATGCAAGAAATGCATCGTTGGCTGTGCTGACTAAATCATGGTACTATATTTTCAATCCCATCCACCAGTTATGTAAAGATTTTTGTTGAAATTTGGATAGTAAATTTCCATCTTCCCAGATTTCAATCAGTTGTTCTTGCAAACTAATCAGGTGTGGAATTTGTGTATCTTTAACAAATTGTTCAAAACCCACTGAAACTCTTAATCTGGAAGATTTTCAAACAGGTTAGAAATTTCTGTTTCCAAGTTTTTTAAGTCTACACGTATGAGAGTTATTGTGGGTGACACACTTAAATTGTATTTGGCAACAAAATCACAAAACATCCACAAGTTTCTTTGGAAAAGCTGTTACTTTCTCACCCACTGTTAGAACATCACTTTCACCTTCACATCAAGTATGTTTACTTCTTTGAAAATAACCACTAGGTTTCATGTTACTGACAGATGCTTGTCATCACAGAAAAGACCAGCAAATTCAGAATACTTGTCTTTTTGTAAAGAAAAACGTGTAATTAGTCTTTAAACTCAAAAACTCTTTTAAAAGCTCATTGCCACAAGATAACCAGCAAATGTCTGTATGGTACAGAGGATTTTCATGGTCACTCCCCATCTCATTATGAAGTATTGTAAAGATTCTACTGTTTCAGGGTCTTGTTTTTTATTAAATTAACCACATCGATGACATCCTGTCACACTTAGTGCATGTCTGGCTCCCATTTCTTTGGTGCAATAGCTTGCCTACGAACAAGTCTTTCTCAGTCTTCTTGTCTAGAGAAAAGAAGACTGAGGGGGCATCTTCTCAATACTTATATATACCTAAAGGGAGGGTGCCAGGTAGATGGGAACAGTCTTTTTTCAGTGATGCCCAGTGATAGGACAAGAGGTAATGGGCACAAACTTGAACATAGGAAGTTCCATATAAACATGAGGAGGAACTTCTTTACTTTGAGGGTAGTGGAGCACTGGAACAAGCTGCCCAGAGAGGTTGTGGAGTCTCCTACTCTGGAGACATTCAAAACCCACCTGGACGCTGTCCTGTGCAACCTGCTGTAGGTGACCCTGCTCTGGCAGGGGGGTTAGAGTAGATGATCTCCAGAGGTCCCTTCCAACCCTGACCATCCTGTGATTCTGTGATTCTGTGAACGCTGTGAATGAATTTCAGGTGTGGTGCTAGCTACGTAACCTTACCATGCAATCCTTTTCTTATGTCAGTCAAAGCAGCTGCTCCACTGGTCATTACACTTGCATAGCTTTTCCATAAAGCATTTTTATTAAAGAAGTAATTTGCTGTTGAGGATACAGCTTCTCTGGTAGATCTTTCCTTTAGTGGCTCACAGAAAGTAGTTCTCCATGTATTTCACTATCAGAACAGGATCTAGCAAATATCATAAGCTGGGACATGTTAGAAACACCTGTACTTTCATCCAGCTGCACAGCAAACCTCTCACATTGTGCAGTTTGTACTGATACTCGTTTCTTCAAACCTCCAGCAGCAATGTTTTCTATGCATCCTCCAACAGTGTTTGCTGATGAAGGAATGCATTTTATTTTGCCGCCATATTGCTTTCTGTGTACTATTGCAGACATTTTTACCGTGGCAGGAAGAAAAAGTGTTTCATCAGTGGTATGTGGCTTTTTGTCTTTTTCTGTGAAGCAAAAAACCTCAAAGGAAGCTTCTAAACATTTATCATTAATTTCAGTGAAATCTTGTAAAGTATTGCATTGAATATCACATAGTTTGAAACATCACTAAAAAATTGTAGAGGTTTGTCTTCATGTTCTGGATGCTTAGTCTTTTAAAGGTCTTGCTAATTCTGATGGCTTCATGCCATCATTAGCTAACTTCTCAAAGCACAATATACACTTGGGGTGAGGTTCATTGTTAATGATAGCAGATGTAAATCTGTATTTAAAATAGCCTTTGATAATTTTGATTTTTTTTGGCCAACTTCTTGCCAGACCTGATTAGCTGGTCATTGTTTGTACCTTGCAATGTGGCTGACTAAGAGCCTGTACTAGGAGTACAAGAAGTGTCAGCTCTGCCATTTTCTTGTCATTTGTCTGTGCTCTCATTAGTATTATCTTCAGTCCACGGCCTCTTCGCAGGAATCTTTTTAAGCCACTTGTCCATTTGGTGAGGGTTAGTTTAGTTAACACTTGATAATACAAACCATAAAACCACTTAAGTTGGCACACATTGATTGCAATATATTGCAATACGCTAAAAGCAAACAAATGAGTCAACCCCCCACATTGTGAACAGTTCTATACCCAGGACACCTCATGCACTGTATGTGACAAGTTGTCATCTGACATATGGACTGAGTGAGGGCACCACTACCAATACAAATACTGAATATTAGTAAAGCTTTATTTCTTTTTTTTTTTTTTTTTGGTTTAAAAAAAATCGAAATTCAGGATTTCCTTCCCACACCCCAATGGCTCATCTTACGCACCCCCTGGGGCATGCACACCCCAATTTGGAGACCACTGTTCTAGAGAACCTTCCCCTCTTGCCTCCAGGAGGCTGACAACATGCGGAAAAAAGACTGTGTCAGAGATGCTGGGGAGGTTGGTATTGCTAAAAGTAAGCTTCTTGATTCAAAGTAGATGACATTAAAAATATGGTGCAGGAAAGGGGGAGAGGAGAAGAGGACTAGGCAGGAGAGGATTTAGGTACCTGAGGAAAACGAAACAGAACAGCCACTTGCCTCCAAGTGGTGTCCCAAAGCAGCAGCCGACCCCCACAGCGCAACCCACAGTCAGGACATCTGAGTAATAATATGGCTGCTACTGGTGAAAGAGACACAGACAGACAGACAAACAGACAGAAGAAAGAAGGAAAGAAAGCAGAAGAGTGAGTAACAGAATTGTCAGGTACGGCCACATGCTGTCACCCAACTCTGTCACCAGTCTCAGAGTTATAGCTGTATTTATCTTATTTCTCCCTTCTGGATGGCTTCAAAATATTCAAAAGACAAGACCTGGTAAAAGACAAGCATATACCTGGAATCACATCTTCAAGACACGTGGAGAAGGCAGCATCTCATCTTTCATTGAAACAAGCACATTTCTGTCACTGCAGAAGTGTTTTGTGGAAAATCCTCCAGAGGGTGGAGAGCACATAAGTGTGTTTTGCTCCATCTCTTTCATTTTGGCAGGGAATCCCAGGATATACATGTGCCAGAGAGTGCCTCAAAAAACCCATCCTGTGAGTCTGTGTGCACAAGGCACGTGCATATCCAGAACCAAGTGTGGACAGATGCCTGGTTCTGTCACCCCAGGTAGGTGAGTGGGTAACAGATCACCTAACATTGTGCTGTCCTAGTGAAAACAATCAAGATAATAAATGGAAATGGAAGGTATAAAAGGTAGAGTCTCTTCTGAGACAGTTTTGGAAGACATAGAGCTGTTGAAAGGGAGAAAATGCTCTTCTGCTCTTTCTCCGAGATTTGGCCCTGAAATGCCAGAGAATGGTGAAAGGTAATAGGTTTTATTTTATTTGGTCTAAATCCTAGGTGATGTGTAATACACTCGTGTTAAGAGCCTGTGTATTTGGTACTTTCTGCTATCATGTGTTCCCAAAGTAGCCTGTTAGATTTCCCACAAGAGTTTTGAGAAAGGGTGGTCTTGTGCTATGATGGGAAACTGAGTGGGAAGGCTGAATTCTAAGGCCTGAAGGCCATGAATTCCTGTTTACCTGAGCAGGTGTTTGATAGAGCCTCCACCAAAAGGTGTCACAAGGCTATCTCTGCACAACCCAACAAAAATGGGCCGTGGACCATTCCGTAACCCAGAACAACGTGTCCTTATCCACAGCTTTGTTCTAGGTAACTTCTGGGCCCTATTAGTGTCCTTGTGGCCTTAAGACGTAATCATGTCCAGAACAGGGATGGGGTTCAGTGCAAAGTGTCTGGAATAGTGGGAGGGTTGTGTTATAGCTCACCAGCATGGTGATTAACAGCGTGAAACTGAGGGTACATGCAACATGACCTGCAGTATGGCAAGAGGTAATAATTAGAGTTGTTTGAAGGTGCAAAGCCTGATGGGACAGTATTGAAGAACAGTGTGAGACAGAGAGACCTATAGCCACCACTGAGAACAGCTTGTGGTATATGGCATCTCCTAGGACCCAACACTGTGTCAGAGTGCTGCTGCTGTGCCGCAGCATAGGTGTAGCCAGATAGACCCAAACAAACAGGCAATCAAAGAGTACCAGACTGCACTTAGAAAAAGTAGGCTGGGCTCCTTTTTCTTGTCAAGGGCTAAATTTACTTTTCAAATCCATTTTGAGGGCTCCTCATTAATATATAGGGTGATGTTCAGCAGCAACAACACCAAGTTGTTATACACCATGGGCAATATGATCTGAAGTTGCAAGCTATATCCTGGACTAAGGTTAGCTAAAGATTACATGATTCCCAGGTAAAGGAAATCACATTTGGCAATTTGGAGTGAATCCATAAGAGGAACACAACTAGGGCTAGTTTGTTCCCATACTACAATGTTTTCACAGACTCACAGCAAGTTTTAATCTGGAAGGTACCTCTGAATGCTTCTTCTCCAATTCTCTGTTCAGAGCTGGGCTAATTTCACAGCTAGATCAGGGTGCTCAGGATCAAGGTGCTAGGTTGAGCCCTGAGCACCTCCCCATATGAAGTTTCCCCAGCCTCTCGTGACACCTGTGCCACCATGAACAACCTTTGAGGCAAGGGGAGAAATTTTTTTTGTGCACAGATAGAATTTCCTTTGTTGCAAGTCATGCCTGTTATCTCTTGTCCTTTCATGGTTCTCTGAGAAGAGTTTGGTTATTTTGTCTCTCTAACATCTTCTTTAGGTACAGAAGACAGCAATTATACCTCTCCTCCTTTAGCCTTCTCCTTTCTTCTCTAGTCTCTCCTAGTTAACTATATATAGTGTGTCCTACAATCTCTGAGACTATATGAATTCCAGGTACAGAGAAAGAAATGAACTGTAGACTGTGTTATGGAAGGTTTTCTGGTTTGGGCTTTTTTTTCCCATTGTTTTTTTACCATTAAGAGAGATACTATTTTCCTTTTATACTACCAGCAGTTCCAACTGACTGTGGTCTAATCCTTGGTTCTGAACTTGTTTTCTCTCAAGGTTTTTGGTAGACTTACAAGTTTTACCTTGAAGCCTCGCTCTTCAGCTCAGGCTGTCTCCAACTTGCTATGTTGCCCACATATACACAGCTCTCAGCCTCTCTCTTGCTGAACCTGATTTTCTTCCTGGCACGTCTTTTCTCAAGTTGGCAACTGAAGAATCGCTGATTTGTAGCTGACAAACTATGTTCCTTCCTTATTTTTGGTAGCAAACCAGAGTAAAGATCATTATTGTGGATGCAAGACTATATTGCATTTGTCAGCTAACTCATCCATTTGAAGACTAACAGGAAAGTAGTGCATGGAATAAATAAAGCCAACCTAGGAAAAACATTGCATTTCACTTTCTCCTTAAACTTCTGGGCACAATAACAATGGAGAGAGGTTCAGGGCAGTGCATGGGAGGACAATGAAATGAAGACACAACAAAGAATGGAGAAGATTTTAAGACAGATTTTTTATGAATATATTTCTACCTTTTTGGGAAGAAGTTACCATGTAACCTCTGGCATATGTCTGGATTAAGGAAATTGCATGAATCAGAAGATTAGCACAAATGTAAGGGGACAGAGATAAATTTCCACATTTCTCCTCGCAGGAGGATCATAGAAAGGTGGGAAGGGACCACTGGAGGTGTCTCCTGCAACTCCCTGCTCAGAGTTGCGCTAATTCCAAGGCTCTTGGATCTGGGTTCTTGCCCAGGTGAGTCTTGAACATCTCCGAGGGTGGAGATTCCCCCATACTCCTTTAGCCTTTTCTCCTTTAGGCTGAACAAACCCAGCTTCCTCAGCTTCTCCTCATATACCATTACTCCAACCTCCCAACCATCTTATAGGCCCTTCGAATCTCTCTTATATGGGGAGCTCAAAACTTTACACACTGATATTTCTGTTCTCCAGTCCACTGATGAAGTATTCATAAAGTAGTTTCCTGTTCACATTATCACTTCCTGCCATACTTGTCATCATCTTCTGCCCTTAGATGTTGCTACTCCTTACATGACAGGTTTTTTTAGTTACTGTTCTCTACTCGATCCTTATTGACTTTCTGGACAGTCCTTGGTGCTCTCCAGGTTGAACAATGTCTGTGGCAGGCAGGGACTGAACAAGTTGTGTCATTAGAAATTAGCACATTAATAGGTGTCACTTTTCCTATAACCTTCCCTTTCTTTCAGTTCCAACAGTTACACATGAAAAGAAAGAACCTGAGTAGCTAGACCGCAGAGGTATCTGTGGGTAACCTTTCCTGAGAGCAGGAAATCTCACAGCAAAAGGCTATATGAGTTGTACATTAAATGTCACATATAGGAAGACACTTGCCTCCAAGAGGAGCCCCGAAGCAACATCCAACTCCAACTGCGCAAGCCGCCACCAGGAGGTCGAACTGCCTATGCACATTCTGGAACAGAGTGCAGCCAGAGAAGGGCATGCTGGGGTTAGAGGGAGCAAAGCAAGGGGGTTAGGATCCAGAACAATGAAACAAAGCAACAGCCAGCAGCAGATTCAGCCACTGCTATTACAAATAGCAGACTCTACACACTTTAGTGCAGTCTTTAGTAATGTCAGCTGGTCTTCAGCAGTAACATCTGGTCCTTACGCACAGACAGGATCTACTCAAGTAGAACAGCACCTCCCATTGTTGTATTACACAGCCAGTTTCTGCTAAGAGCCTGTATGTAAAGCAGTTCCTACATTTCGCTATATATGCAGTTAATAGATTTTTTATACAACTAGTCAATACAGTGATCAGCCTGCGGAGGCTGTTCTGCGACAGCAAAAGCCTAGAGACAGTGTCAGTGTCTATAATTAGCAACGCTGTATAAATTTGGCTTAAAGACAAATTGATCTTTGTCTGCTGCTACTTTTTCATACAGACAGTCATCACAGGGCAAAGGTATCAGCATCATGAGATTGAAAACTTGTCAAAAGCATATTCCTAACCAGCCTCTGTATAATTGGTAGCTAATATTGGTGGTCCTGCACAGTTATTTGAGTGTGTATCTGGCCTCCCACTACCATTTTCTTTGGCCTGCATTTTACTGCTCTATAGCAGTACAGTGAACTTCAATCCATATGTTTCTTCTGTGTTTTGTGGCCTACCAATACTATCCTATGTGTTTTAGGAGTTCAGCCTGTGGAAGAGCTGTATGCAGAGACATGTGCCTTACCTCATACACACCACAGAAGATTGACATGAACTTGCTGAGTACCGCAGCACAGATACTGGCAATATGCACAAAAGGACCCTGCAAGAGAAGAGGAGGAGGAAACCAGAGAGGGTTACCCTCTGGTTACTGACAACCATTTAGCCATTGCAGACCTCATAATTTTTCTTTGGCCATCTCAGGCAGCCCTCCAATCTTCTTCTTCCCTCTCAAAGACTACCTGGCTTGAGTTCTTTGATGTTTTCTATATCAAGCCCTTCAAAGTGGAAGGAAAATGGCCAATGGAAGATAAGCGTTGCTGGAAAAAGCAGAGCTTTAAGATGAACGGTGGCAAAAAAAAGAAAACATTTATAGACTCCTCTTTCACAGACAACTCCTCCCACCTCCCAGACCCCGGCCACTACCGCACATGAAAATAGCAATATTTACCTCTTTCCCCACAGGCATGCCACTTCCAAGCCCAGCTGTGAGGCCCACAACTTTGGCCACAAAAGCTTTGAGAGTGAGATATTCCTTGAGGACCACTCCCCTCATAATCGTCTTGAGCTCTGGGATTCCAGACCCTGAAAACAAGAGCAGAGCAGGGGATGAACAAAACCTGCAGCCAAATGGAATAATAAAAACCAGACAGACAGAAACAGATCTTGCCATGCCTTCTGCCCTCACCAACAGCTTGTGGAGAGACGAGGTGGCAGAAAATGGCCGCAAACAGGATAAGAGCAAGTGGGTATGCGACCCACACCAGATACTGCATAGGAATATTCGGGTGCAGCTCTCTGTACATCCACTTGTAGGCTGTAGACAGACAAACAAAGAAGTTGTCAGTAACCACAGCTGCTCCAAACAGCTTGGTAGACATCAAAGAATCACACACTTGCTGAACCTGCCCATACTAAATCTCCCTGAGAAGTGCTATCCTAAAGCCCTCATTTTCTAAGACAAGTCTTGTTACCTTTTGAGTACGAGTTCTCAGATAAAACAGGCATTCTGCAGGAACGGGTAGAAATGGCTCTCTGTTCTTAAACACTGTTAATACCTGTGCCCAAATGTGGCGTAAGAAGAGATATGTTACATGTAGTTGTGAGGATGAATCACTGTACAGGGTCTTTTCTTGTGGCAGCCTGAGGGCCTTATGTGGGTCCTGAATGACAATAAAGTGATCAACCAATAACTAGTGCCCTCTCCTCCATCTAAATCACATGAAAAATTGTTCCTTCATAAAAACTAGCTTAAAAGCTCTGATTATGGTTTGTCTTTTAGACCAGCAGCATGAAGGCAGTTGTGCCAACTGTTAAAACATCAGTGGTACGATTGCTCAGCCAGGTACAACCGAACTGCAGGTCCTGTGCAGTTCATCTTCTTTGCCTGAGCTGAGTCCGCACACAGCAGAAGGCTGAGACTTGGTGGAGAGAATTAAAAAACCACAAACCAGAAGGGACTCAGCTGCAGGGAGTATAAAGGAGAGGGACTTTCTGAGACTGGTAGGGTAAGCCAGATGCCTGGTAGATGATGAAGCTCTAGAGGGAGGAACATTGGGCTGAAGGGATATTGGGAGCTTTGAGGAACTGCAGTGTCTGGTGGACATCTGCAGCCAAGAGCACTGAGAGGAAAGGTTTGGTGTGCACGTGCAGGTCAGGTTAACAGAATGTGGGCAATGTTGTGTGTGGGTGTGCTCCCCAACATGGGGGGCAGGAGGACTGAAAGATCTTGTAATTGTTATAGCTGCCAAAGAGGAGAGGGACCACAGGAAAAATGTGGGGAAGTGATATAAGACAGTGATTAGGAGATCCTTGTGAAAAGGGCCAAAGGAGAGAGCACTATATGGCCAGGTAGCAGGAAACTGCAGGGCACTGCATAAATAAAAATTAGAAAGAACAATAATAAAGTAAAAAGCAGAAAAAGTGTCAGGAGGGCATCCAAGAGCCCCTTCCTCTCCCCATCCTCCATGTGCTCATTATTCCTGGGGAGGATGGGAACCAGCATGATAGGAAGGACCATTTCCCTGTGCCCCTCCACATTCAAAGGAGCAGGAGGGAAAGGGAGTGAAAATAATATTTTTTCTTTGACTTGTCATACACATATCCTTTGTTTCTGCCCACTTACTTCCAAATTTTTCCCTGCCATCCCTTTAAAGAACCTCTTCCTAGTTAACCTTTTCCCTGCTATGTTGCAAGTACTTCAGACTTCCCAGGCAGCAAGGGGTGAGGATGGGACACTGATATTAAAGGAGGAACATTTGTCACTGGGCTTTGTAAAACATTCATATAATTTACAGTGTGCTTTTTCAACACCTGAATGGGACCCACCCTGTAAGCTCTTCGCACTGGCATAATCCATTCCCCAGCTCACCAACGCCATGACCAGACCCAAGAGAACCAAGAAAATCCAGTCCTCTCCAAGCTTCTTGGTAACATATTTCTGGATGCGTCTAGCACAGTCTGTAGAGGGAAGAATGAACCAGAAAAACTGAGGGAACAGAGATGAAGCCTGTGTCTGTCTCTCCTCTCCTACGCTGAGAACCAACTACAATAAGGATTTATTTGGAAGCATCATGGGCTACGTGTTGAAGGACTGGTACCCATCCATCTCTTACATAGTCCTGCAAAATCTTATGCAGTTTAAAAAACAAAAAAACAAAAGGGGGGGGGGATGGGACATGGGGTGGAATTTAACATCTTGTGCACTAGCAGCAAAAATCTGACACAAGAAAGTCCATTTCCTCCTGTTACAGAGATCTGTTGTGGAACAAATTATTAACTTGGGACTGGTCTTCTTTCCAAACAGATTTTGGCTCTTCATATGATGAAAGCTTGCATGAAAAAGTATTTTCGATCCACTGTGATTCCTTTTCCTTCCTTCCTTTCTTCTCCCCCGTCACAATATTCTTGTGTTTTTGCCTTGCTTAAATTCCATCTCTCTGGCTGGCCTACCCAATATCTAGTTATAGGGTAATGAAAGATGAATTGTCCCTACCTTGACATTTGGAATAGTGCTCTTCTTTGATCTCTACTTGACTCATACGTTTCAGGGGTCTTTCATTGTTCTTTTGGGCCTGCTTCTTATTCAGTAGTTTTGCTGCTTCCTTCTCTGCACAGTCAGTTATCTGGTCTGTGTATTGGCCATAAAGCTAGAGGAGCAGAAAGCAAGAGAGATCAAAAGGAAAAGGTAAGGCAAATGCTTCTTCACAAATAGCATCAAAGATGAAAAGGCAGATCTACTGTCAGTCCGAGGTACAAACCCAAATGTACCCAAGCAGGGAGACAGAGACACAGAAACTCTCAGACAGATGCAGCTCATCTGTTTTTTTCTTTTTCCTTTCTGGTTTCCTCTTCCCAACCTCTCCAAAATCTTTTAATCTCCTCTTTGGGGGTACAAGATGTGATCATAGAATACTAATTGCTTTTTAACATCCTGAGAAAGAGCTGGCTGTGGTCTGAAGAGATTGAGCAGGCTTTCTGGGGCTACAAAAGAAGGTCAAAATAGTTCACATGAGGCTGCCAACCTCAGGGATTTCTCATAGATTTCAGCCACACTGTAGAAGATCTCTGAAGGTTTTGAGAAGTATTACACTATTAATCAGGCTGCAGGAATGTCCTGCATCTCATCTTCCTGCTGCCAAGGAATGCTTAACAGGGCACACAGCCACTGATGGTGCCTGTGGAGGAAAAGAAGCAGCATCAGCCCAGACATATCACAGGGTACTGCACATCTCCTTCCATTATTTGCCCAAATCATCATGCTAAGTCCTCTCACATCTCCAGTTCCTCTGGATTTCCTAACTACCTAATCTAGTCTTTGTCTTCAGATACTAATCTTGAAATGCAATTGGTTATATGCAATTCAACAACATGTGCTTACCAATGACATTTCATACACGGAGGTATAGTAAACTTGGCAGTTGTGCTGGCTTGTCAACGAGATCTCAAGGCAGCTTGAAGGACCCTGACTGTGCCCTCTTGTTTGTTTATCAGATTCCCTGAAGAACAGCTATCCTAAATCACTCTTTCAGAGTACAGGTGGGGAAGGTGTGCATTTGAGAAGCAGAGAATAAGCCTCTCCTCCTCACATGTCCTTCAATAAACCATCTTTGGCTTTACTTGAGGTCATTTTACCACCTGATGCACGGCCTCTGATCTTGGCACTTCCCACCTGTAAGAAAGTGACATTTTGCTTCCTCCCCATCTGCTGCTCTAGGATTTTCTGAGTGGCAGCAAAATCAGACACTTCAGTTGGAGAATGACAAGACATACGAGAGATATAAAGCACTACCAAGTGCTTAGGGGACATTTCTATTTGACAGCTTTGTGTTTCCTCCTTTTGAAGTGACACAGGAGATGTTGCTCCTGTTCCCTTGAGATCCAGTAGATTCAGAGACTCACAGAAAGATTTACAATGGAAAGCACCTCTGGAGGTTTCTAATCCAAGCCGCTGCTCACAGCATGCAGACTCCAAAGCCAGATCAGGCTGCTCGAGACCTCGTCCAGGCAACTCCTAAACATCTCCAAGGGTGGAAATTCCCCAGCTTCTCTGAGCTCCTGTTTCAGTGCTCTACCAATTCATATTTCCAAACATAACTGAATCTCCTAAATAGTTTATTTATTTGCATATTCCTCAAGAGACACTTGAACCACGTGCAATAGCTCTCTTTGAAAACACTGGTGTTTTTTTCACCGAAAACAGATCTAGGCTTTTTTAAAACATCCTGTTGTTAAGGTGGCTTACCTGCAGTCTCTTAAACAAATTGATCTTACCTGAACGTTTGAAAGTATTCTATTCATCACTGTACTGGAAGCTGACAAATTGAATGAAATTATTAACCACATGATTATCAACACACTCTTGGCAAATTAAGTAATGCAGACTCTTTGCAGTGAGGAATGGACATGCTCTGCCCCCCCATAATACAGACAGGACAGTCAAACATAAGGCTGAAGAGCTTCCTATACAAGGTAAGCTGTCACATACAGAATCCAGTCCTAAACAGCAGACTGCTCCTATTTCTCTCACTGTGTCTATTTCAGACAGAAATGCCAAGTACCAGCAGATTTTAGACAAATGCATCTTCGCATCACCTCAGCTAATGTTTCATTGCCTTTACATGGTCATGAGGGATGAGTTTATATCAAATACAGCTTAATCCAAAATATGAACTCAAATCCATGCCAATTATGACATTAAAATTAAGAGTCTTCCATCTACCCAGACGGAACAGCATGACAGTATAATAGTATCAATGGTAAAAGTCCTCATACAGTATCCCAGTTCACTGCTTCTGTCTGGCTAGAAAATGGTGCACTTGGGATGTGGGAAAAAAGGAGTTAGTCTCCGGACACAAAAATGAAGGTTCTGTCCTGGAGAACAAGTTAGTCTCAACTCACTTAAATAATGCTTCATACATCTCCTTTCTTCTCCAAGACTCTGGCACTATTTAAAATGATAGGAGATTGTGGGAGAGAGAAAAAATCCAGGAATCAGAGGATCACCTTAATGCAAAATTAGGTTAGGCAAGAAATATCCACTCCATTAGAAGACATGTAAAACTAAAAATATAACATAGTAGGACTTAGACTGTTCCTTCTTCTGATGCTCCCTCTGTAACACAATGAACACAGGGTTTCTGAGCACCAGAAAAACTGGAGAGAATTTTAAAAGATATCAATTACCACCTAAAGGGTTGAGCCAGAAAAGGTACTATCACACCCAGCTTGGCTAAATGCTGAGTGAGAACATGATAATGGTGCAAAAACAGCTGACAGAATAAATACTGCAAAAAGCAGGGGGAGGGGGACACCTCCAAAAACATCCAGGGAGAAAGCACAACCAGAGTAAAGTTCATTTTCAGGGAGGAAGCATTTATTAATGTTTAACTGTAAACTAGCAGGGTTTGTCTTTCCAAAAAAGATGGGAAAGTTTCATTGCCTGAGAAATGAAGGAAAAGCTGCACAGAATCTCAGGGGAAAAATATGTACAGCACCACAATCTCAAGACTTTTCTGGACCTATTTTCTGAGAGCTCAGCGCCTGCATAAAACTGCCTTCCTCTCACAGTCCAAAGCCATTTCCCATGACATTCAGACTGTTCTCCACAGCACACTCCAGTCCTGAAATCCCATCCCCCAGCACTGCCAGTGCATACTAGTTTTAATCTGCTGCTCCTGGCCACTGAGGCAGCCTTGAGCTCTACTGCTCATCCCTCTCACTCCCACCTCGTGGCCATCCTGCTATTCCTGAAAGGTTGTTCCTTAGGGTTTTTTTCTCATGGATCACAAAAGAGTAGCCATATTTGGTCTCAAAGGTGAAACCTCACACAACTCACTTCATAAGTAAATATAAATGTCAGTAAAAAGTCTAGGCTCAATTGCTTAGACATAGAGCCAATGAGGCACGTGTGAGAGGCCAGCAGCAGCAACAAGATAATAGTTCTTCCTGGAGAACAAAAGGCAAGGGGGACATCTAACAGCAGTCCCACCACCTGAAGGGAGAGGGGGGTTGGAGAAACATCAGAGCGATACTTCTCAGAGGGCCACAGCAAAGGACAAAAGGAAAAAGGCTTAAATTGCAAAAAAGGAAAGTCTGTGCAAAAGGAAAACATGCTCCCATCCACCCCCTCTTGAGGGTAGTTCAGCACAGGAGCTGGTGCCCAGAGGGGCTGGGGAACCTTCAGTCTTGGAGATGTTCAGAATGTGCCTGGACAAGGCCCTGGACCTGACCTAACTTTCGAGTCAGCTCTGCTATGAGCAAGGGCTTGGGCTGGAGACCTCCAGAGGCCCCTCTCACCCACACATGTCTGAGTCTGTTATTCTATAGTCTATATTACTGCATTGCCTAATTACTCATTACACATCCTTCCCACTACACCTGCCTATGTATTGCCATGAACATCCTTTCTATAGTCATGAATAACACAGCTTCTAAATACTTCACCAGCTTTATCTGCTTTCTCATGCAGAAAGAAAACAATACATAATCCTACAGTATATAAGAATGTGTATTTTTATCAATGTATACTACATCATATATGATACACCTATTATCTGCTCTTATTTGTCCAAAATTATGTATATATTACTATTATTATCCTCCTAGTATGATTATTTTATTATCTCTTAACCACTACATGTTTTTTGACCATCAATTATCTGAAGGTCCCAGGCCAAAGACCAAGATTTCACTGTTTTGAGGTCTGTGTAAACCCAATCAAATCACAGAGGCAGTCTGAAATAGTTTCCAACCTACATATAAAACAAAAGGCAACAGCTAGCAAAAGAAAAGGGCACAACAGAATGAACATATCTCTCTGCTGAATGTTTTTTTTTTCACACGACAAGGGGGAAAGAAATCTGCATGGAAATGGATGAAAACACATGCAGCAGGTGGTTTTTCATGCTAATAACATAAGTGTGCATGTTTGTACAAGGTGTACATTAGTGTGCATATTTATACTTTACGTACATGTGCATAAATGGCTAGTAAAATATACATACACACAGCAAGCCTGGTTTTGCCACGGTATGTCTGCATACAAAGTTTCATACATAAACATACATGTACATGTGTATGAGATTGTTCATGTATTTCTAGGGCACATTTTTCAGTAAATCTATAAATACAGCTGTCAGTTCTTTAGACTGCAAATTGTGTTCACAAACGCGTGCTTGCTTGGTGACATTACTGCCTGAAGATATTCACAGGAATGCATTTGATGGCCTGTTTGTGCCTGAGGTTGTCTGTCTACGTGCACTGACCAGCATGGCTGTGGAGCTGGGCGCAGACACTGCGATGCCAGGTAGCAAGAGCACAAAGGTGGGTTGTGTTGCCTCACTGTGTCACCTGCGCCTGCTTGCGAGAGCGGTTTTAGACGTGGGGCACTGGCATATCGGGTGGATGCATGTGAACTGGGATGCTGTTGGATGTGCCTTACTGGAGAAAGAGTTTGCATCCCACAGCTCCCCCACCCACCCCGGGCCCCAACTCACTAATGGTTCATGCAGCACAAGGTACATCTCCTCAGCCTACTGCAGCTCTCCAGCCCTCGGTGTTGCCCCACTCGCACCCCACCGTGTAGGTGTCTGCCATCCTCCCAGCAAAGCTGTGACGCTCACCCAGGGCCAACCGGGAACTTGGGCATGGCTGATGGCGCCAGGATGTCTCCTTCCCACCAGTTGACCCTACCTCAGGCCCCAGTCACTGCGGGTCTGCTGGCCGCCACAGGCCGGGCCAGGCCACAGGGCCACCAGGCTACAGGGCCACAGGGCCACAGGGTTGGTGCTTAGCATCAGGCAGCGATTCAAAGGTTGAATCCCATCAGAGCTTGGCTCCAGTCGGGCACATGAACGTCTCCATCCCATGGTCACCGTGCTACCATGACTGCCACACCCAAAGCGTTGGCTTGAGATAGTGTAAATAAAGCATAAACAGCTCCAGTCAGACTTCTGTCCAGACACCTTCCTGTTCAGGCTGCTGCTTCCAAATCAGCCAGGGAGCAGGTTTTGGAGGGGGTTTCATGCAGGAGACATTTGCAAACTCTCGGATGTTTTAGGCAGTTTCAGAAGAGAAATTCATGACTGTGGCTATGGAACAGATTTTCTAATCTTTTGCAATGTAACACATATAATACTCATTGGGATGCTTATCTACTGGAAGATATTTTCTTGGTGGCAAAGGTGGCTTTATTCCTATCACTATATCGCAAAAGTCATCAGGAGATGATTAATGCATCCTCTCCCTCATCCCCCAATCGTTCACCTAAGTATTCATGTAAGGGTATTTGTACTCATGTAAGGAGAAATATCCACTCTGTATGAATTTCACATTCACATGCTCTCTCCCTCATCGTTTGACTGCATCTTTCATTGCTCTAAAGCCCTCTGAGGGCTTTAGTCTGAGCAGAGTGGTAGAACATAAGACATCAGGACTCTGCTGTAAAATCTCCCCTTTGCAGGAGGCTGTCCCAAAAGGAGAGGTAGAGGAGATACAGAGGATAATGGAACAAGAGTTTATAACCAGAGTACATCTGCGTCCCAGATATTTTAGTGAACCGCTGCTTGTATGAACCAGAGAAAGAGTCAGATCAAGTTTAAAGGTTAGAAAATCCCTCGCTTACAAATCCCCTAAGAGTTACCAAAACATGTATGGATCTGTGAGCATGAAGTGCTTTTTGTTCAGAGAAAAATCAGAACAGAGCTCTGCATGACTTCATCTATACAGATGTGCAGGTAGATACCCACCTACATACATCACTGTTCTCTTTGTATTTATTCACTCCTCTGCTCTACTTAATATCACTATGCAGCTGAAGGCAGCTGCAGTTTCTCTTTGCTGTTGCAAACACATAAATGGTCTAGTTGATTTTCCCCCCCCCAGCTTGCCCATTCTCTCTTTGTGTCCATGGCAGGTGAAAATGACCCCTGACTCAAAATGCTGGTAGCACTCCTGGATGTAACTACAACCGTCAAAGTCAACGCCTGACCTGGGAGTCAACAAATGAAGGGGAGAGTTGGTAGAATTGGGAATGGGCAGGGATGTGTGCTCTACCAGCACCATTCCAGGAGCCCCAAGAGCTTATGTGATCCCAGGGAGACCTGTGCTGCCACAAATGTCCCAGTTGTTCAGCCCTACCTGTGGGTAGCTGAGGGAGTTCTCCAGGTAGTGCAGGTCGTCCCCTGTCCCCCCGGCCTCACATCCTGCCTCCAAAGGTATCCCGTAACGGGTGCATTTCTCAAAGGAGACATAGTCGTATTGCGGTGTGCCCTCCCACAAAGCTGACTTTGATCTGGGTTCCTGCGTCGTAGTCTCTGAGTTCTCCATGCCTCTACTCTTCCTCACGCTCAGTTGCAAAGGAGCTGCCACTCTGGGCCTTACCTAGAACTGCCTCATGTTCTGGCCAAGAGCATGGCCTCTGCACTTTCCTCTACTCCCTCCTTCCTTTCTTTCTCCCCTCAGATCACTCTGACTTGTCCTGTTCCTGCACTCACTTTCTCTCTGCCCCTTCTCTTCCTCCTTGTGCCTCTCTCCCCCCTTCCTGCCCAAAGGCAGTGATTGCAGGGTTTAACTGTATTTTTAGCAACCTTCCTCTGCCACATGATTCCCCAGTGCCGTGTCTGATGTCAGCAAAAGGCACTAACTCCGACGGGATTGAATATCAAGCGTGGGCAAGAGGGGAACTCCTGAAGGAGAGGGAAGGGGGAGGGGGGAGGAGGAAAGAAGGTGGTAAAACGGATGGACCTAGAAGTACAGAGGCAGAAAGCAGACAGGAGGAAGCAGAAATGATTATCCAGGAGATCTCTTCTTTCACACCTCCCCATCCTGAGCAAGCCGTATTTGCAGTGAGAACAAAATTCAGTGGGCTTCCTTGTTCTCTTCCCCATACCAAGCGTCCAAAAGACTGAGTGACAATCATAAAGATGCCAGCAACTATGGTAAGATAGAACAAGATGGGTACACAGTCAGTGTCCCGAGACAATTTTTCTAAGTCCATGGTCCACAAGAGAAGCAGCAAGCCCTAATGGAGAAGTCAGGCATACCTCTAAACTGCTGAGCATTACAGCTGAATTGCAGCCTTCTCATGTGCCTTTATGGGGAATGCTTTACACGTTTGAAGAATGTCACCAAACTGCTCTGTGGGTATTCAATTATGGGTATACGCAGAAATTTATTCTTCTTGGTGCCCACTTTTCCACAGGCTAGAGCATTCAACAGCTTCTCCTCTCTACTCTGCCACTTGTTTCTCAGACAGGCAAAAAAGCAATGAACTTAGCCAACACCAGTGAGCTACTAGCCAGTGACAGGAATGAGAAGCATGTTCCAGCAACATGGTCTAGAAACACCTCCCAGTACTGTCAGTGTGCTGACTGTAACCATATGTCTTTTGATGGCTACTAATCAACTAAGAGCAGTGAGTTCAAGATCTTAGGAATTGTATACAAGAAAAGAAGACCCCAAATGCCTAAAACACAGTCACTAAAGAGCTGCTGTTAACCCCTTCTTCCTCCTCTTGTACACTGTCACCTCTCCAGTATAATGGTTGCCAAGCTTCTCACACTGCAGGATAAGAGATTTGCAGGCAGGATGGGGGAGAGAAAGTTGCAAAACACCCTTCTTTTGGGTCCAGAACATTAGTCTCATTATTTCATTTTGCAGACCCCTGTAAAACATTTCCCCTGGAGGCTCGTTTTGTTTTTTCTCAGTCTGAACAGTCCTTGAGAGTGGGGTACAAAGAAAGTCTCCAAGAGGATGGCACACTCGATTTCCTCCATGAACCACCTCCCCACCTCCTCCAGTGTTTCTGCTAACAATATCCATATGGATATTCATTAGCAATAATATCCATACGGATATTGTTAGCCTGTACAACCCACACCTGGTGGCAGGCCAGGCTGTATATTTACAAAAATATAGAGGCTCATCTCTTTCATTCTCACCAGCACTCACTTTACTGTCAATAAGCAATATTTCCTGGAGGAAGACTGTGTTGCATCAGTAGGACAAAACTTGTAATGAGCCACCTTAAACTCTTAAAGAAGAGTTTCAAGTGACCGTGTCTAGAAAATCTAAGAACAACATTTGGATACCCTCATGGATTTCCATCATAAAGGCATTAACTGCTCGCAACCTACTGAGATGCTTTTGGAAGACCAATGTCACTATAGTTAACATAAAAAATGATGCATACTATATACTATATAGTGTATAAAATACAAAAACCCCTGTATAGAGTATAAGTGTACATCATATATAGAAAACCTAAAGACCAACCAGAGTAAGTCTCAGCAAACATCAAAGCTGTAATACAGCACCAGATTGTCAGTTATTATTACACTTAGTGGAGGAGAACACTTATCAGAGCCACTGAAGAAAACTAATGGGAACCTTTACCCAAAGGTGCACTCTTCTAGCTCTTGTTTTTCAAGAGGCAGAAGAATACCACATCAAAAATGTCTTCAGTATAAAAAAGAGCCCCCTACTGCCGGCTAATCAAACTCTACTGTCTGTCTTGTATGATACTGTTGTGGAATTTCCATGGAAAATAATTATATAATTATAGCCTAAAATAAGATGATCCTACCCTGAAAGGTTTTTTCTCCGAGAACTGTCCCTCTCAGCCTCCAAACTGGCCTCAGCCTCGCTCACCTCATCAATAAAAGCATGAAGGACCCTAAGACCAATTTTCACCAAATGGCTCTAGTTGCTACTCAGATAAGAAACCTTTACTATCCTCGTAAGGAACACAACCCACAATAACCCTGTGCCCTCACTCGTACTTTCCACAGTGCAATACACCTCATCCAGTGCACTAAATGGTAGAATGATAACTGTACAGATGAAATTGAGTGATTATTATGCACACAGTGGTACACGTGTACACTCTAAGGATATAGCTCTAAGGACATCTGCAGCTAAGGACCTAGCACTTGTCTAACTCCCAGTGGGAGAGCACTTCTCATCAAACAATCTCTCTACCTCTGATGTCTCTGCCCAGATACTATCTACCAAGGAAAAGACTGAGAACTGAAATTCACCATTCCAGTGCATGACAAAATGTATGCCACCTGTAGAGATACTAGATCTATGTCACATTATAAGCTGTGTCCTGAACACTAATCTTATCATGCTCCACAGCTTATAAATCACCCCTTTCCCTCTTTTCTCTAGGATGAAAGTAATTTGTCAGCTGTGTGGGCACTATTAACATCCTCTCTATTCCACAAGATACCAATAATCTTTTGTCACAGCCTCGCCGACGCTAGTCTAGTTAAATTCAAAGCAGCTACTCTCAACTTATATTTGCTTTGAGATCTGCTGCTTCTATTTCAGACTCAAAGAAGAACTCATAGACACAACAGCTTGTCCACTTTTTCCAGCTGGCATAGCTGACCTAGTGAAAGGTATGTTCCAGCTCTACCCGTTGTCTTGTCCATGTTTTCAAATCAGCAGGGTCCCAAAAGGACAGAATACTGAGCACACCCTGAAAAAGATCTGCCTTTCTGCATTGCTGCTGCCCAGCAACTGCTGTCAAATCTCCCCTGTCACTTTTTCTCTAACTTCCTGGCACAGTTTGTCTTTACGTATTTTCTTTATTGCTCATCTGTCCCGCTTTCAACTACCAAGGTCTAGCTCTGCCCTTCTACCAGGACACAGCAACGTAGTAATGCTGCTGCTTGAGAGGTTACCAACAGACTCAGGAGACTAGCACAGAACTGGAGGAAGATATAAAAAAAAGAGGAAAATGTAATAACCATCTTGCATTAGTCACAAACACAGATGACCTGTATGTATGGCTTGACTCCTCAGGTCCACCTAAGCCTCTTGAAAGGGCTCACAAAAGTTTCTAGACTCCTCCACATCACACAAGAGGAAAGGTATACAACCTGCTCAAACACCAGTTTTTTCTTTGCATATTACAGGCCCTAGAGGGACTTCAAAGTGTGTTTCTGTGGTACTTCCTTCAAGTAGGACATCTTCACGACAGATGAAACTACAGCTACAGCCCATATTATGGTCTTAGGTGAGGAAAAAGAAAGGAATAGAAGTTAGAACTCTCACCCAATATGGATCTCTTCTCCACTCAACCATCTTTCTCCCTCCTCTTCCCAGTTTTCTCTCAGGTCTCCCTTTCTCTGACTTTATTTTTTTTTCACCTGAATGCTTTTCATGATGCAGAAATATAATTCCTAGCCTTCCCATCCTACTGTCTTTATAGTGAAAGCTCTGATAATATGGTGGGACGGATGATTGAAGACTCACCCTTCTCTCACGGTCCTGTCCCAGGAGATTTATCACCTCAAATCCCAGTGCTGTTAATCAACAGTGACAAGATTAATGTTGTTCCTTGTGCCCTGCCCACACAATTATGAGACATCATACTACCTTCTGAGCCTTCTGCTTATACTAGAGCTTTTTTTGTGTGTGTGTGTTTCTCTAGCAGATTCATCCTAAAAGATCTAGACCACTTCATGATCTCACTGTATACAAACCTTATCGCCCACCGCCAGACTGCAGCCTCCTCTGGAATGAAACACAAGGTCTATTTTTCAGCTGCCATCGGGACTGCATACACAGACTTATAGCAGATGGTGATGCAGAGCCCTCTGCCACCCCAGAATGAAAGGAGACGAATTTGTAGAGGCAGAGTTATTGTTACTCAGAACCATGCACACAGAATAGAAAAGCAGCCATTTAAGAATAAAGAAAAAATAATATTCTGTGCTTAAGATAACTCAGTCCAATAACGCTGTGAAGGAGATAATATAAAAGATAGGCTACGAGACAAAAGAAACTGTAAAGGTGAAAGGGAGAAGGGGAGTTTTGAAGGAGGAAGAGGAGAAAGGTGACAAAAGGAGGACTACTTAACTGTAACAGAGGCTCTAACAGATAAACATGGAGGCAATACGAGACAAAGAAAGCACAGAAGGATGTGAGGGGATGAGATACAGGACAGAAAGAAGTCACAGCAAGTGTACTTTGCCTCAAGCAATAGCTTCATATGGAGCAAAAAAGAGTGAAAAGGCAGGAAAAAGACTTCAGTAGACATATGATAAGGCACTGTCTTGTAGATGAGAACAAGGTGCTTGAGTGGGACATTTTATTAGACAAGACACCCACGGAGGCTTCAAAGAGCTACAGGAGGCAATTGGAGCTTTGGGAGAGAAAGAATGCTGTGAAAAGGGTTAGGAAGAGGGAGAGAGACTGGGAGAAAAGATGGCTTTTATCGTGAAAGACAGAAATAGACCGTGGACTAAGGCTTGAACAGTAGCAAAAGAGAAATTTAAGCTGTACAGGAGCATATTGCAAGCAAGGCCGAATATGGA